ACGGTTTTTTTTATTTTGAATTTTCGCCATTATTTCAAAAAAATAAAAAAATAATCTTTTTTATTTTATATTTTTTTTTTTTTTTTTTTTTTTTTTTTCTTTCCTTTTTCTTTTTTTAATCTCGTTGTTTAGCTTTTCCAATCCTTTCAGCATCGTTAAGGGTGTTTATACTTTATTAAAGCTTGTTTGTTGCACCATCTGGACAGTTTTCGAGGAGTATTTTCGGGAGAAAAGAACAGACTACAGTGAAAGAAAAAGGAGATACGTTCAACATGGCACGTACAGTGGAAGTGACGCCGTACGAATATCCCAATGAGTATGTACCCAAGTCAACACATCATAGGAGGAATACGCTCTGATGTATCGTGACTTTCAAATTCCTCTACTTTATCTATACGCGATACTAACAGCTCTTTCTTCCCTTTAGCAAGCCGTCGTACAAGAAGTCGGAATTTCAACAATTGTTGAAAATATTGAACACATACAAAACCAACATAGCCGTAGGGTTGATAACAATCATCACGTTGCTCTCGACGATAAGACTTATATTGTTTAGACCAACAACCTACTATACCCCTGACTTCAGCCGTTTACCTAACGTTCAGTATTTTGACTTGGACCATTACACTGGGAGCCCAGATGGTTGGCAGAGAGACGAGAGGGTCTTGTTCTGTGTTCCCTTGAGAGACGCCGCTGCCCACTTGCCAATGTTTTTTGGACACATGAGAAACGTCACGTATCCACACAACCTTATTGACTTGGCATTCTTGGTTAGTGATTCCTCAGACGACACTATGGGCTCGTTGGAGGCCCACCTCAAGGCCATTCAGTCCGATCCAGACGTGTCCATGAGGTTCGGCGAGATTGAAATCTACGAGAAAGATTTTGGTCAAGTTATCGGACAGGGGTTCAGTGATAGACACGGGTTCGCTGCTCAGGGCCCCAGAAGAAAATTAATGGCTAGAGCTAGAAACTGGCTTTGGTCGGTGGCCATAAAGCCTTACCATTCGTTTGTATACTGGAGAGATGCTGATGTAGAAACTGTACCTCCTACGATTTTAGAAGACTTGATGCATCACGACAAGGATGTCATTGTACCCAACGTTTGGAGACCTCTCCCAGATTGGTTAGGAAACCAGCAACCGTACGATTTAAACTCATGGCAAGAATCTGATGGGGGATTACAATTAGCTGAAGGTTTGGATGAAGATGCATGTATTGTAGAAGGTTACGTGGAATATCAAACGTGGAGACCGCATTTGGCCTACTTGAGAGACCCCTATGGTGACCCAGAAGTCGAAATGGATTTGGATGGTATTGGAGGTGTTTCCATTTTGACCAAGGCTAGGGTTTTCAGAACGGGTTCACATTTCCCAGCATTCTCCTTTGAGAAGCACGCAGAAACTGAAGCATTTGGAAAATTGTCCAAGAGAATGGGCTACTCGGTGGTTGGTTTACCGCATTACGTCATCTGGCACATTTATGAACCATCTTCGGATGATTTGAAGCATATGGAATGGATGGCATTGGAAGAGGTGAAACAAAAGGAAGAGGCTAAGATTAGAAAAGTCTATGACAAGGTATGGGGAGAAGCGTTCGATGACGTTCAAATTGCATGGAAGAAGGAGAGAGATGATTTCTTGAAGAATACCGATATGACGGCGTTGAGAAAGATTGAAGTTGATTGGAGTGATGCTGATGGGTTTGACATTGATGCCAATAAGAAAGATGAGCACATTGCAGATTTCAATCCTTAAATAAATCATCGAACAAGAAAGAAAAGTTAAGGAGGTAAAGAGCTACGAACGAAAGAGAGGATATGAAGAAGAAACCATTCATTTTATAGACATTAGATTCCCCTCTAAATATATACGTCACCAAGTACAGGAACAAGGCGATATCATTGTGTAAGTGAAAACAGAAGTAAATGAGATAAAGTTCATCTCTTAGCTACAATTGAAATACAATTTCATCTATACTGTGCATTGATAGGGTTTCCATATGTTTTTTTTGTTTTTAACTGTTTATACCATAGGTGGTATTGTTAGTGGACAACAACCACATTATCCTTGTATAAGTAGAACTGCAAGAAAATAAAACTATCTTCAAAGATAGTTCCAAGTGAGCCCAACAACCAACTCAAGTTCAACAAAATGTATTGGGAGTCACTTCTGTAGAACAAGATTTGTCCAGCATAGAACAAGTTACCACAGGTAGAGAATAAGAAGAACAACAAGCTCAAACCTTGAACAGATTTTCTTCTATGGTTTTGAATGATTTGTGGGATTCTTGCACCCAAGTACAATGCAGCTGAAATGTAGCCAATAATTTGAGGACCCAACTCAATGTTAGGAGGGGAGTCATCGACAGGAGGTTGAGGAGCATCATCACCACTGCCCAGGCTGCCAGAAAGGAAAAATCCAGCCAATCCGGCACCAATTACGAATAGAATAGGTAACACATACTTATAGAACACAGAATGCTCTTCTGGCTCCAATGCAATGTCTGTCAAGGTGGACGATCTTCTTCTTCTCTCAAGAAGGGGCTCGTTTTCATGGGTAGGAGTGCCACCATGAGAGGGTCTCTTGATATGGTTAGGGTGGTGCTTTGGGAACACATATGTGTAGTAAATGTACGAAGTAATCATCAAGAAGTCAGCAATGCAAAACCAGATGGCCAAGAACACAACCTCGGGGAGCAACCCAGCCCAGATTGACCCGACGAGATTGAAGACATCACCAAGGAACCAGATTGAGATGAATCCGATGGCAATACCTTCGGCGGATTTCATTCTCCATTGCTCTATGAGCTGTGGCATTAACAAGACTATCCAGCAGGCGAGACTAGAATGAAGTTAGTAAAGGTGAATGTGAAAGCGCAAGCGCAAGCGCGTCTTCAGCTGAGAGCAGCTGAGAGAGAGAGACCGAGAAAGTCAAAAGGCGTGTTACAATGCCGCCAACTACTTACGATGTGGATCCCAAAACCCCGGAAACGGCAAGTCTCCATGAACTGGGTTCGCTGGCCTCGACAGCCTTAAGAAGAATCGCAAATGTCATGATCTTCCTACTGTTTATTGTATACTACTGTAGTCTATCCAGAACAGTGTATACCTCAGAGGACCCTCGAGAAATGTTGGCGCGGAATTGAGAAAACTTCGATGGACAAGATAAGGCGAGGAGTGCATATAGGAGTACATCGCTGATTATGGTCGGAGTCTGGGACTGAGCCTCCTGGGGTTGCGGAATACAGTGACTGACTCGTTTTGGCTCATACTGGCTTTGGAGTTTTGAGCTGGGAAGACTCGAGCAGGCAATTCTTTGGCTCTGGCTGTTTCCATGTCGCTTGGCTGAGGTAGCATTTCCATGTCGTTTGGCTGAAGTAGCATTTCCATCTCGCTTGGCTGAATTAGCCTACTGTTTGTATAAATAAGATCCGGTGGATCACGCTAGAAAATAAGTGCTCCAGTAGTTTATTTCGCAGCGGTGGAAGCTCGCTGCACGCCAGAGAAGCAAATAGAGTTGCACACAAAATCATTTAAGGTTGCAGGATTGATCTGAAAGAAGCGTACCAGTTTACCGGCTAGTTTCTCAAAAGCTTAAGCTTATACTAAAGTCAGACCACTGAGCTAAACCATTATCAGACCACCAATGTGCTGGGGACTAAACTGCAGAATCAGGTGTGTGATTGTTCCGCTATCACTTCCTGTGGTATTCTCCATATATTTTTTTACCGAAAGGTGGTAGCGCTGCACGGTAAATTATCTCGCAAATTGAGGCACACTAAGACAGACCGCTAGACAGAACGCAGCATTAGAGAGCGAGCATACAAGAGCTATTCCCTCTTGTGCTTCCTTGCTTTCCACTTCCTTTGGGGCTGCAAGCTGCCAAAATCCTAACAAAGAGATCAGTCCACTGAAGAATTTACCAAGTAGTACATCGGCGTGCCACCATTAGCCCGATATACAGATGTTATACTGGGCCCTCCTTATCTCTACCGTGCTGCACCTCCACCAAACACCTAGTCGGCACATAGAGGAACGGACGCAGTAAATCAGGGAACGAGGGAGTGCACACAATCTCTCTCTCTCTTTTTTTTTTTTTCTCTTTTTTTTTTTTTTCCCGATCGAAAATTTTCAGGTGCAAAAAAATTTTTCACTTCTCTTCCACAAACTACTCCCCTACTCCTTTTCTTACCATATTGAATCAAATATAGTAGAATACACTAACAATGGTATGTTTATATAGATAAAGAAGATGTTGGAACTCCGCATTTATAACTTTATTGAACTTTCAGTTTGAAAATAGATAAATTTTGTGCAACAAGGAGTGGTGCCATTTGATCTTTAATTAAATTGGAAAATTGTATATCTCTTTTCTTCTATACTAAAGAAATTTCTTTCCGTCTCTCTTTCTCTTTTCCTATCCCCTTAGCTATAGAGAGGAAAGAGAGGAAAGAATAAAATGTGCATACATTTTTCTTGTTGCACAGGCTGAGTATCTTATTTTTATTTTGATACTGTAGAGTTAATAAGCTTATAAGAAAGGAACAGTTCGTTGACATTTAAATATTGAGAACACTTTTTTATGACTAACTCAATGACACAGCCTGCCAAGAAAGTCGCCAAAGCTCCATTAGCCAACAAGTCTAGCTCTGTTGCTCCTAAGAACCCATTGTTTGATGCCACCCCAAAGAACTTTGGAATCGGCCAAGCTGTGCAACCAAAGAGAAACTTATCTAGATTTGTCAAGTGGCCTGAGTACGTCAGATTACAAAGACAGAAGAAGATCTTGTCGTTGAGATTAAAGGTTCCTCCAGCAATTGCTCAATTCCAAAACACCTTGGACAGAAACACTGCTGCCCAAACCTTGAAGCTCTTCAACAAGTACAGACCAGAAACCTCTGCTGAAAAGAAGGAAAGATTAACCAAGGAAGCTGCCGCTGTTGCAGAAGGTAAGTCCGCCAAGGATGCTTCTCCAAAGCCAGTTGTTGTCAAGTACGGTTTAAACCACGTTGTTTCCTTAATTGAAAACAAGAAGGCCAAGTTAGTCTTGATCGCCAACGACGTTGACCCAATTGAATTGGTTGTCTTCTTACCAGCTTTATGTAGAAAGATGGGTGTTCCATACGCCGTTGTAAAGGGTAAGGCCAGATTAGGAACTTTAGTCCACAAGAAGACCTCTTCTGTTGCTGCTTTAACCGAAGTTAACTCTGCTGACGAAGCTGAATTAGCCAAGTTGGTTTCCACCATCAACGCTAACTTCATTGAAAAGTACGAAGACTCCAGAAGACACTGGGGTGGTGGTATCATGGGTTCTAAGTCTAATGAAAAGAAGGCTAAGAGGGCTAAGACCATGGACGTCAAGGCTTAAGCTCATATAGCTCAACCGTTACCACTGTACAATAGAGAGAAACAAACAAACAAAGAAAGAACATGAAAAACAAGAGAACTAGTGTGTATTTCTATATAGATAATATCAGGAATACCGGAAAAGACAGCGTTCAGCGTTCATAGTAGACCAGTGTAGATGTAGATCGACAAAGCACAAGCCTTCAGAACAATTGAGGCACTCCAGCACACTCTGGAGTACTATAAGCAAGTTCAGTCCCACTTCAATGTCCATATCTCAACCACACTCTGGAGCAGTATAAGCAAGTTCAGTCGTACTTCGATGCCCATATCCCAACCAGGGCTGAGCCCTCCATGAGCGCACGTGATCCCGTTCCTTGTGAAAATTTTCCTTTTTTTCCCACCAAACCGCTGTGTGCCGGATCTGCGCTCCACTAACCAACTCTCAATTTTAATACTACAACTAAGAAAAGTATTACCACGGCTTCTTAATAGAACAGCAAACTAATTGTAAATAACAGTATGTACCAGTAGTACATAAAGGTGGAAACGCAAGAGGTTATACCACCAGGAAGAGCTCGAGGAGTAGGGGAACAGAAGACTACAAGGGGAGCATGTTTTGCGTTGAAAAGTTTTTGGATTCATCGAAATGAGTGAAGTGAAATTTATAATGAAATGATACAACGAGAAACAAGCACATCACAAGCACATCTTCAGTAGTATGTTGGACGGTTGATTTGAGCGCATCAAAGCAAGTGAAAACCGGACAAGAAAAGTGCATTTTCATTCGACTTGGCCCCATCGTGAATTGTTACTGTAGACAAGCAGATCCATCCTCCGCCCCTCCCACAAGAGATTGGAGGAAGAACGAACGAAGAAGTCTTTTGTCCCCCGGCTGTTCCTGAGATGAAACCCCCTGCAAATCTTCTATAACCTTTATGAGAGAAAGAGAAAGAAAAGATACAAGTACACATGTACATAAGTACTTCTCTATGTATATACTGTCAACTTCCCAATGGAAGGCAGTCTCCCAGACCGAACTCTATACTAACTTTTCCTTTTAGCAATGTCTAAGTCTAAGAACCATACCGCCCATAACCAAACCAAGAAGGCTCACAAGAACGGTATCAAGAAGCCAAGATCCCACAAGTACCCTTCATTAAAGGGTGTTGACGCTAAGTTCAAGAGAAACCACAGATACGCTTTACATGGTACCGCTAAGACCTTAGCTGCTGCTCGTGCTGAAAAGAAATAAGCAATTATTTAGTTTTCATAGGGTTATATTAATAAAGCTTCATCAGTTAATCGTCAGTTGAACATGAAATGAGTGTGTAGTGTTACAGCGTGTTACACCGTGCTCTTTACTAAGAAGAACATGGCAAACTGAAAACTATTGTGCAGGACACTGTGCACAAACACGAACGGTGATGAGTTTTCGATTTTGCAACCGTTCACTGTTAGTGGTACAAATGTTCTCTCTAGGCTTTCTTTTACGCTTGAGTGTTCTTCTTCTTCTTCTTCTTCTTCTTCTTTTCTTACTCTTATTATAATTATTTTGTAACCATGTCTGAGACCATCGAAGAAATCAGTCCCTCTTTAGGACTTTCTCCCTCTTTTGCCCCGATCGAAGATGCGACATTTTCTGACGCTGTGGAAGACTCTTCTGCCGCACAGGAGCAAGTTGAAACGGAGGAAGAGGTGGTGGACCTAGCCAAAGGTAGTCTAGAGAATCAAACACTAACAGAAGACGAGATAGTTGCAGTTGTAGAGCAAGTGACAGAGGAAGAGGAAGAGGAAAATGTCAAAGTCATCATTAACGGTGATCCAGCACCAGATCCAGCGCCAGGCCAAGCACCAATACTGGCCCTCAGCTCAGATGCAACAGCGGCTGCAAAAACTGTCGAGAAAGTTGCGTTTACCAAACCGCGTATATACATCAAGAATTTGACCTATGACACCACTGAGGAAGAGCTCGAAGAGTTATTTATAGACCACCATTTGTAAGATCTACCAATGCTGATTATTTTTTCTTTTTTTTTTTGCATTATTGTCTTTATACTAATGTATTGATTCCTCTAGGACTAGTGTGATAATTCCAACGTATACCGTTCGTGGGTTTAGATACCAAAGGTACAAGCCGTTGGGCACCGCATATGCAGACTTCAAGACCGCTGAAGATGTTGCCGATGTGATCAACAAGTTCAATGGCATTGTACTAAACGGCAGAAGATTGATAATCAAGCCATACCATACCAGTGGTTACTACAAGAAGTGCAGTACCAACAAAGGAGGAGACAAGCCCACAGGAATAGAGATGATCCCAGAGCAAGATTCGGAATCGGCAGAGCCATCCAACAATGGTGCATCGTCGACGGAGAGGAGTACAGTTGAAGTCGACGGAAACAGTGTAAGTATTGCAAGAGAAGCTTCCACGGACACGATTTTCATTCAATCGGTTGCCTACGCCGTTAATATCGAGGACATCAAGACCTTCTTCGAAGGCTACGAGCCAGACCAAATATACTTGTACGAAAACAAGTACCGCCCCAAGGGCCGCAGGACTCTCTCGTTCAGTGGCAGGTCCAGAAGTGCCTTGGTTAGGTTGAAATCTACAACGCCTCTTGCTGACATCATCACCGAATTGCAATCCAAGAAGCTTCACGGCAGACATGTACTTTTGAGAGCGGGATACGTTGATAAAATCAACGAAGTCCTAGTTGCCGCAAATAGTAAGAAGTACACCTTTGTTTCTGACTTATCAAGTGAATAAATGAGTCTTACTGGTTCTTGCTACCACAGCCAACTAAAGTTTCTAATACAACATATAAATTCAAAGTTTATACAATATATAAGTTATATATATATATGCTAATCAATACATATTGATATGATATCAATACTTTTTATGTCTACTTTCCTTTTTCCCGTTTTAAAGATATACTTTTCAAAACTTTTCATTTATATATTAAACACGAAGACATAAAAAACCCCGTAGAAACGAAGAAACAACAAAAATACAAGAGTGAACTATTCAATTGGTTTAAATAATTTAATCTTGAGTTTTTTGGGTACCACGTAATAAACCAGTTCTTCTAGCAGCAATCAAACCAGCCTTTTGACCTGGGACGGCACCTCTGGAGATAGTAGAAGCCTTACCAATATGTTGATGGTTACCACCACCATGAGGGTGATCAACTGGATTCATGGCAACACCTCTGGTCTTTGGCCATGAGTTTCTCTTAACCTTGTATTTGTGGAATGCTCTACCAGCCTTTAACAATGGCTTATCGATTCTACCACCACCGGCAACGACACCGATGACACCTCTAGCTTCGGAAGAGATGATCTTCTTGGCACCAGATGGTAACTTGACTCTGGTCTTACCTTCGTCTGGGTTGTGTCCAATAATGATAACGTAGTTACCGGAGGTTCTACCTAAAGCACCTCTGTCACCAGCCTTTTCTTCAACGTTGGAGACAATGGTACCTTCTGGCATGGAACCTAAAGGTAAAACGTTACCGACGTTTAAAGAAGCCTTCTTACCGGCGTAAATAAATTGTCCAGTGTAGACACCTTCGTTAGCAATGAAGGTTTCTTCTCTGATCTTGTACTTGTAAGGGTCACGGAAAGCAACCTTGGCTAATGGAGCACCTCTACCGGCGTCGTGGATGATTTGCTTGACAACACCACGAATGTAACCGTGACGTTCAGCATAATCTAAGGTTCTTAACTTAGCAGCACCGTTTCTCAATCTGGTGTTAGCAGTGAAGATAGAACCAGCACCCTTTCTTTGATTACGAATAACTCTACCTATAGAAATGATATGTTAGTAAGATAGAAATAAAAATGAAATATGGAAACGTTTAAAAATGAAATATCCAACGAAATGTCCGCATATATGTGATGGTCCTGGTGTCGTTTCCATTGTGTATCGTTCTCCTCTCTCCAGATAGTACAATTTGGTAGGGTTCCTTAACCTCATTCCCCAGTCTACGTGTACATGTTCATACGTCATCTGCCTAAGAAATAGCATCCCACTTGACTGAACGGAGCTGGCCCACTATTCTTTCAGCGATATCTACATTTAAATTATTCAGTCAGGTCCAGCAACCATTGAGACATCTACAGTATGCTCCTCGCAGAAATCAAACTTTGCTTACGCTCTCCGGTGGAGTGGTAGACTGGACTTCTTTAATTCACTCCCTCTTTGGGCCTCTCCATATAGACATCGACTTCACTCAGTCACATCACATTTCTTTCAATTATTATCCCTTCGTTTCGCTTGGAGTCAACGTATACCACTTCATGGTAACATGGTGTCTAGACATACCCATTTTGTTTGCTGTGTCGAATCTTAAGCAGCGATATAGACCGGTGATTTCAATAGCATTAATGTATAAGTTACTGTGAGTGGAAGGTTTCGCACTGGGACGGTAGGTGAAAATTTTCATGAAATGCGACAGTCACTGCACCACGTGAGGGCTGCAGCCCTAAAGATGAGGGAGACGCAGTGGCCGAGCGACATGCATGAGGTGCTGCAGTGCGAGAAAATTAAAGGTTGCAGATTTGCAGCCAGCAGGGTAGGCTAGTACTTGAAGATTAGACTGGTAGTAGAGGGTGTTACACCTGAGGGGTACTTACTACTGTTGTAATAAACAAACTTAACACATGTATTTGAAACGTACATAGAAAAAAAATATAAAGGGGAAAAAATCAAACAGTTTGGTGAGTGTACTTCACCATAACAATCAACAAGTGAAAATGTGGTTATAGACACTTTATGGAACAAAAGCACCAGGCATATGAACTGATTGCTCGGATTGGGTTGAAGTGGAATACTTTGCATTTGCTGGAGTAATAGTTGAATCAGCAGCGATTGGACCTCCAACAGCTGAGGAAGCACTATCAGTTCCAGAGGGAACAGTGCGTGGAATTGAATCAGATGACTCAGTATGTTCTAAACCTTGTCTTTCATATCCATATGACGCATCGTTTGCCGAAGAGGAAGATGTCGAAATCTCCTTAGTAGACAATAACTTCTTACCAGCTTCGTTTGTGACTATTCCGGAGTCGGTATCGATTTTGAGCTCCTTGGCATTGGCTAAAACTTCTGGTCTATCACTAAGAGTTTCTACCGCTTGATTGGCAATAGTTGTAGCTTCTGATGGATCTTTTGTACCCTTTACAGTTACAAGGATTTCAGAAGGACTTGCCTTTTGTGATGCGGAATTTCCTGATACAGATCTACCTGCTGCGGCACCGCCAGCGACAGCACTACCTGCAAGAGCTCCACCTGCGGCAGAAGCACCATGAGATGTACCATGAGTACCATGAGAAGTACCGTGAGATCCTGTAGGTTCACCAACGTTTCCTAAGTCCCCATGTTGAGCAGCATTTTCTAACTTTGCCTTAGCAGCCTCATGCTCAGAGTGATACTTATTTCCAATTCCCTTATCGAGGCCCACTGGAGGAACTTGAGTTTTGTCAGAATTGGAAACAGATTTGGAAGATTTAGTCTCACCAGCAGACGTGGCACTGGTCTTGTAAATCTCCTTATTATTAGTATCAACAACTAGTTTACCTGAAGATAAATCAACACCTTGTCTAACCAATTCCTTAGAAGCTTGGTGTGCAATTTCTGATGCCTTAGCTCTATCTTCAACACCGATAACCTCAACTGTTAAGTTATCGTCATTACTTTTCTGATTTGCACCTTTACTTTTGGAGGTAGAAGTAGTACCAGAAGATGTGTTGGCTAAGTTGGAATTTTCCCTATGAGCAGCAGCACCTGCTCCTCCAATAACACCTGCAGCAGCTGCAGCACCAGCAACTTTCGAGCCTGTGGAAGATTTACTGGTTCCAGATACAGACAGATTTCCCTTAGTGTAATCTTCAGTTGCTTGAACTTGTCCTGCTTCGTAAGACCCGCGCTTGACTCCTTCCAAATAGTACTCCTGCGATTCCTTTTCAGAAAGTTTGGAGGATGAAGAGCTTTTGGAATTATCTAATCCTGAACTACGCCTCGCTTCATCCGATGTATCGTGCTTGCTGCTAGATTTACTGCCGAAAACAGCCCCAAGCAAACCTGTTCCAAGAATTCCTCCTGATTTGGACTTATCACTTCCAGAGGAGCTATGCTCCTTCTCGAGTTCATGTGACAGTTCCTTATCGGTAGGCAAAGGCTTAGTTTCGTGGTGAGAGTATCCAGAGGTAGTCCCTTCAACTGCAGAGCGGTTTGAAGAATTCTTGCTGGCAGCAGAACTAGATGGATCATCGTGTAGATTACCATACTTACCACCAGTCCTAATAAATTCATTTTGATTTTGGAAGACTTCCTGAGGAACTTCTTGAACATCTCCTCCTACAGCAGCCGCATCTTCAGTATTATCGGAATCAAGAACACTACCCTTACCCTTGAATGCCGGCTCATTCCTAACATCAGCAGAATGGTCCTGAGCAATTTGTAATAATGAACGGTCATCATTTTTAACACCGACCTTCTTGTTATGTGCAATAACCTCGGATTCCAAATCACGGCTATTCTTAGCATTTGATTCGGAAGGTACATCAGAAGGTTTGGATTCAATGTTTTCCTTGATATTTGCAGTTCCTTTCTTTGAAGTAAAAGCAGGTTGTTCATCTACGTCAGGGTACTTTCTTGCCGCTGCTTCCACCAAAGAATCTTCATTAGAAGACTGGGCTTTTGAGTTACCTTTGGTCGAAGAGGTTACTCCAACAGCTGCAGCTGCACCACCAAGAGCTGCAGAAATGCCTCCGACTGCGGTTCCCTTATTTGAAGAGTTTACTTCTCCGGTGGTATCAGACGTGGGTTCAGCAACTTTAGATGATGCTGATCCTAAACCAAGTGCAGAACCAAGACCACTTGAAGTAGTGCCAGATTCAGTGTTAGTTTGTACGATAGGAGTGTCTCTCTTTGACGTACCAGCTGCAGCATTGTCCTTAGTAATTGCTGTGTCGTGATTAGCAGAATCAGAGCTAGCACCTAAACCGATTGCAGCAGCAGCGCTTCCGAGTACCCCAGTAACACCTGCCAAGTATCCTGCACTCTGAGACGAACTGTCATCGATATTGTCAAGATGAGGCTTTTCTATGTTACCAGTAGTAGGGTGAGATCCAGAGCTTGAAGAAGTATTTCCAACATTAGAACTTCCATAGACTTCAGCGCCAGAGCCAATTACACCATCTGTAGATCCCGCATATCTGGAGGTATCTTTATTGGCACTATGTTGACCTGCATCGTAACTTTGATCTAAGACGTCTTTGTTTGAATTAGTCTTCGTCGAGTCCGAATGAGATTTGTAGGCGTCGTATCCAACAGCTGAAGCTGCAGCAGCACCAACTCCTGCAACAGCTCCTTTAGCACCATCGAAAGCACCTGGTTGTTGAGTATTCGAAGTAGTGTGAGCAGATTTTGAGGAAACATCATGGCTACCCGGCTTTGTAGCATCTGTAGATGCTATGTTTCTAGAAGTATCGTGCTTAGCATTTTGTTGGCCCGCTTTGTAACTTTGATCTAAAACATCCTTGTTCGAATCAGACTTCGTTGAGTCTGAATGAGACTTGTATGCATTATATCCAACAGCAGAGGCTGCAGCTGCACCAACTCCAGCAACAGCACCTTTTGCACCACCAGAGGCACTTGGCTGTTCAGATCTTGAAGTGGCGTGATCCGATTTTGATGAAACACCATGTCCAACTGGGGTTGGTGTTGGCTGAGTCGATGCCAACTTAGGATCTAACGATGAGTTCGTATTAGGTGGGACTATGTGATCAGTACCACCGACTCTGCCCAAGTACGTAGCACCAGTGTGTGAGTTATCACCAGATGAATACTTATCTTGGGTTGGCGTTTTGTTCCTACTAGTTAATGGTTCATTGTAAACAGCATTAATTGAGGCATCATCTGCGCCGTTGGCATACTTTCCGGATGAAAGAGCATCAATGTCTTTTTGGGTAGAATCAATTTGCCTATCTAATTTGGCAATTTCATTGTCATAGTCCGTATTTTTGTTGTCACTTGGAGTAGAATTCTTATTTTGTGAATACTTTTCAGCACCCACAATGGCAGCACCAGCTCCAACCCCAGCAGCAGCAGCTTCCTTGCCATAACTCTTATCATCGGATGACTTCTTATCAGAATATGTTTGAGTAGATGGATTAGATTTCGACCCAATCTGAGGGTCAGAACTGCCAGTAGGCTCAGTCTTCAAATTTCTGTGAACTGGTAACGATTGTCTAGTGGCTTCAGAATAATCGGAAGCATCTTTATTGTTGTAAATACCACCTTGAGTATCCTTAGGGTTGAAATAGTAACCAGTACCCTCCTTTACTTCAGACTCATCAGTGTATATTGGGTTGGAGTTCTTCTCAATGCTAGTAGAGTTTTGAGCAGTAGACTTTGTGGTGCTTGTGTTGTAGGCCACTCCAGGAACTGAAGCCTCAGGATCAGTAGAAGAAGAGTTAACCACATCAGTTGGATTCTTTTGGTTTGCAAAGTCTCCCGTCTCCCGTTCAACAGGTTTACGGTTGATTTTTGGTGGAGTACTTAAAACGTTACCAACAGAGGTAGAAGCCACAACACTAGGATCACTTGAAGTTGTGTTGTCAGCATATCCTTGGGATTTTCCTTCATAGTATGCTTGATCCACTGCAGAGTTTTTACCGGAGGAGTTTTTACCTTTAGAATGTCCTTCATCGTATGATTGTTGAATAACAGATCTGTCCTGGTAATCACCTACAGTAGTGCCGGAGACATTCAGAGTTTTCGAATGGCTTTCCTTTTCAGCTTTCTTCTTTCCTTCTAAGTATGCCTTATGAACAATCTCTTCCTCGTGAGCACTCAATTTGGAAGTTTTGGAGTCAGACGAGTCGTGAGATTGGGACTTGAATGGTTTAGCCAACTTGTGCAATAAACCACTTTTTTCTTCAGACATTATGGGAGCTTTAGTGTATTTTTGTTTTTAAATGTTTTTCTTTTTAGTTTAATAGAGATGTTTAATTCCTTTAATATGGTCCTCGTGTGAAATTTCGAAAATTTTCTTTACAAGTATAATACAGTATATTTTTCAATGATCAAAAAAGGGGATTTCCTTCTTTCCTAAACACTATTTCTCCCCAATTATCGGTATATTTATACCTTAATATTTTGTATAGCAAGCAATTGAAAAGAAAAGGTTGCAGCCATTATGCAGCATGTGGTGAAATTACATGGTAGCAATCCGGCAATATGCAGGTATGAAATATACAGGGATATGCATAGTAATGTAAAGGGCTGACCATTTCTTCCACACCCCTCTGGTCAAACATGTGGAGAAGCGTGTAGAAGGTGTAATGGAATTAAGGTTCCAAGTAAATTTGAAGCAGATCTCAGGATCGATTGACTTTAGACAGAAAGGAAGGAGAAGAAGGAAAGGGGAATCAAGAAATTCAAAGCAAAAAAAGGAGTAGTGGATCAGAAAACGATTTCATGTTAAAGAAGCCCTGACTAGGTGTCAAACTAAAGGAGATTAAACGATGTACATGTATATTGATTCTTTAAATTGTCAGGTTGCTTTTGTCTCAGCATACAAAGTCTATCTATTATTTACACAAACTTTCCCCTATAATTCAATAGTCGAATGAAGAAAGCGCTTCAATTTCACCAACTCTACCAAGTCCACATACCATACAGCGGTGTACCGTGTGCAGCAGCGAGAGCAAGAAACCAAAAAAAATAAATAATTAACAAAAAAAAAAATAAAATAAAAAAAAAATACTAAGGGAGCCATACCTTCTCAACCAAAAGTATGGACCACAATGACGTCCTCATTTCAAGCAAGCTTTATCACTTCCTTACATCACATTGCTCGAAGTGAAATATTAATTCGTCTAAAACAAGCTTCCGCAGCCGCTGCAAGGAGGGTCACTGCATGCATCGTCGTTCGTTGCTTTGTATTCTTCCTTCCTTGTGCCTATTGTGCCTTACCTGTGGCTGTGAAAAATCAACTAACAATTTCAGTTTATGTGCAGGAAGCATCATTCCAGTTTCTTCTCTCCAGTGCACCGCAATCCAAGCGGTCTATCAGTCTATCTATCTATATTCGGGCATTTTGTTACTCTTGTTGTACACCAACCTCGTGACTAGCCACTCCAAGCTTTCCTTGAGTCCCTGGTTCTCGAGGACTGACACGGGTAGCAATTTCAGGTCCGTTGCTTCCAATTCTGAGACAACCTGGATGAACACACCGGTCTTCAACGACACCAAATCGACGGCTTCTGGTAAGTCCTGCTTATTGGCCATCATGAGTATCGGTACGTTTACAGTTGCCTCGTCCTGCTGAGACATGAGGTGTTCTTGAGCTTCGGAAGCCGTACTGCTCTCTCCGTCTTCTTCGGTAGCAGCCCAGGACGGGTTGTGAGATATCTCCATCAACGTGTCGTAGCATTCTTGGAACCTGGCGGTATCGGTGGAATCTATGACAAAGATAATGCCATGGCATTGACGGTAGTATCGGGACCACATACTTCTGAGCGACTGCTGCCCTCCGAGGTCCCAGAACTTCAAGTTGATATTATTGTACGATTTGGACAATGTTGACTCTCGGGCAGCCTCGTATTTGACGGTTGTCGTGTTTTGTCCTACAGTGGGGAGGATTCTCTTGGATTTCAATGCCTTGGATGTGGCATTGTTGGCTTCAGACGCATGTGCTTCATTGATCGGTGCATGTTTACTTGATTCCGGAGATGAGTAGAGAAGCTTAACGTGCTCTAAAAATGTAGTCTTTCCCGCATTGTCCAAGCCGAGAATAAGCACGTTGTACTGTTCTCGTTTCGTGTACTGGGTGTATAGGGAGGACGCTAAATGGAACATGCTATGCGTTGGAGATGTGTTTCAAGTGATGTGTTCTCTTGTCAAGCCCTAATTTTGAAAACAACCGTGTGGAAATTTGTGGAAAGAAAAGATCGGTATATGCAGGAGAGCGATAGAATGAAAAGGTGCGCGCGCGCAGTGCTCTGGAGAGAAGAGGGAAGTCCCTAAAAAAATTAGTGGTCCTTTTCTTTTCTTTCTTCTATTTCTCGACAGGAGATGGGATCAAACGAGCTTACTTGGCAGATGCTAGCAGGTGGCCGTTCTGTTTTGTCCTGTTTGGACACAGGGTCACGCATACCTGGAACTATGGAGTCATTCAGAGTAATATAGAATACTGTTGTCTTTTATTTACTAGGAATGGTTTCATCGTTCAGTACGAGATAGCGAGCCACTAAAATTTTTTTTTTCAGCTCTTCGGTACCGACCATTTATTTTTTTCGGCTCTACTGGAGTTTTTACTCTGCTTACTATGGAAATTGGCTTAAATGATGAATACATTGATAGGGACAACTGAGTGATACTTTGAAGAAGTTGTCAAGATAGTAGAAAATTTCTGAAAAGTTCATTTCCAAAATAAGCAAGGAGTAGCAAAACGAAGGAAGCGAAACTAATACTGTCACTAAGTACCACCTAACCTCGATATACACTTTCTCTTTGTTCTCTGTCTGCATTGTGCCATGATTCTCTGCACTGGCCCGCTATTTTTTGCTGCGCTTCTCTTCTCCCTGCAAAAAATACACCCTCACACTCTCCCTACAGTATGCCCAGCACATAGCTTCTCTTTGCTTCCTGCACACACCATCCATTTTGGGGTGGGATTGGGAACTGCCTGGTCTGTCGATAAGTGTACCCCTCTGGTCTCTCTTCTCCTGGAAACGTAACACAAAAGTCTCCCCTTCTTTGTATGTACTTCCAGTTTTCTGTGCAAAATTAAGTGAGATTAAAGAAACCCTTCCTTCAGCCATTACTGCAACACCAATATGTCTTTCAAGTTCCCTTCGTTCAACTTTCAGTCGATCCAGGAATCGTTACCATCGGTTGACAACATCACCAAGTCAATCTCGAATGTAAACGTTCAACAGTACTCCGATCTGTTGAAAGATTCCATTCAGCCCTTTGCTTCTAAAACCTCCCAATTAATCTCAACTCAATTACACCAGGTGCAACAATTAGCCGCCACCCACTACAACAATTCCAACGTTGAAGTTTCTGAGTTGCCAGCTGATTACCTTGAATTGGAGAAGAATTGCGATTTGTTGTTAAAGCTCTACACCGACTTGATTCAGATCACCAACGACACCTACCTCAAGACATCTTACGATTACCCTCCAGGAAACAATTCTTTGAACAGAATCCGTGATGCTAACGTAGGTGGCTTGATTGGTAACAAGTTTACACAGTTGAGAAACGCTTCTTCTCCTCAAGAACTAGAGAAGATCTTGTTAGGCAGCCAAGAGCAAACTGACTCAGCAGCAGCACCAGCAGCTGAAGCAACAACAGCTACTGAATTCCCTAAGACCTTGTTCCATCAATTGGCACTTATTTCATCTACCCATTCCAAAGAACTCAACCCATCTCCACTTTCCATAGCATTGGATAAGTTATCAGTAGCATACAAGGCCATTGGTGACTCACGTTTAGAGCAAGATGAAGCCATCAAGACCCAGTTGAACTCTCAATTGATCCATATCTTGAACGAAGAATTCATAAAGGTTACAGAATTGCGTAAAAGGGTTTATGCATCAAGACTGCAATTTGACTTGATTCGTTCAGAAATAGATGCGGAAACCGAAGACGATAACGAAGAGTTGATTGCTAGAGAAGATGAATTGGTCAATGCTACTGAATCCGCTGTCACAGAAATGAAGAAATTGTTGAAGCCATCCAGAAACATCAATTTGTTGAAAGTATTTGTTAACGCTCAAAAGGAATTCTTCCAAGCAGCAGCTAAGAAATTGGAAACTATTTCTGCTGACTTGGACAAAATTGAATTCGAAGAGGAAGATGATGAGTAAGGAGTAAGAGCACTACTAGGACCAAGACTGAATAAACATGTTGTACTATAGCAGGAAACGTACTCACACTTGAAATACAAAATAAATAAAAAAATACCTTATCGTGACTTAATTTTAATTTAATTTATTACATTTAATTATGAGTTTTACTTGTATGTTCATTTTTTTATATATTTCTCCCCTTTCTTTTTTTCTTTCTTTCTTTCTACTTACTTTTCTCTAATACTAACTGGGAGGTTCTGCTGCTAGCGAATTTCACACATTACGCTGATCTACCGTGATACCAATGTAACATTTAGTATTAGCCATATTGAACTGCCTGAGCCGCTGACGTCATTTTGGATCGACTTTTTTCATTCGCGATTCTTCTTGGCCCAAGCAAAGTCAGTTTCATTGTGAGCGATATATTTTTAAATCCTCTTCTTGATCTGATTTGAGTAGATAAATCCCGCAAGTTCAGGTCCTGGCACTGGTAGCTCCAAAGGGTAGTTTGTTTATGTTTGTGTGTGATCATTGGGTGATTTTTGATATGTAGTCAAGAGGAAAAGTTGGCCATGGTATTCAATGCACGTTGAGGCTGGTGGGGTGTATGGCCCTAATTTGCAGCCGTTCTCTAGGTATATAAGTCAAGAAGTTAATCCCAAATTTCTGTAGATAATTAGCATACGTTTGCCATCTTAATCCAGTGTATGTCATATTTTTTGCTGTCAAACCTCTCAACTCTAATGCCTAGCACAGAAAGGTCCCCTCTTATCTATCCAAGTACAACTCACTTCGATACTGTCTCAGTGAACTCTGATGAAAATCAAGTGTCAGAGGATGAAGCCGAAGAAGAAAATGATTATTCCAGATGTCAAGCCGAGAGTGACTCTAGCTGTGACTTGGTTACTAGCTTAGACAAAACTTCATGGAGAAATGTCATATACTTGGGATTTTCTTCCCTTGGTGCCATTTACGGAGACATAGGAACTTCACCTCTATATGTTTTAAACGCTGTGAAGTATCCTCATAGTCCACCTAGCCAAGATGACATTTATGGTACAATATCCTTGATATTTTACTTATTTACCTTTATTGTTATAATCAAATATCTAATGATCGTGCTTGTGATTGGTCCTAATAATGGTGAAGGTGGTCAGGTGGCAATATATGCCAAAATCGCAAGACACTTAAAGATAGGACCCAAAGGAGTGACAATTCCTGGAGATGCCCCAGAGAAGGACGATGACGACATCTTGCGACTCACTCGCCAAATCACTTCTCTGCTGTTCATCTCTTTAACACATCAAATGAAGGATTTGAAGAACTCTCCTAGAACTTTGAAGTTCATTTCAAAATTAAGCTTGTGGTGTTGCTTCATTGGATGTTCGCTAGTGATTTCGGATGGTTTATTGACTCCAACAACGTCGGTTTTGTCTGCAATAACAGGAATTCAAGTAGCGAAGCCAGAATTTGATAACGTTCTATTAGTTTCAGAGTTAGTTCTTGTGTCTCTATTCGTCATGCAACAATTTGGGTCAACCAAACTTTCATATTTTTTTGCACCCATTATTTTCACTTGGTTATTAACATTGCTTATTTGTGGGACTTATAACATAATCGTATTTCATCCAATGATTTTCAAGGCACTCTCTCCAGCGTATGCCTTTAATATTTTGAAGAAAGGTGGCCTCGACATAATTTCTGGATCAATGTTAGCAATAACCGGCACTGAGGCAATGTTCGCTGATATTGGACATTTCGGTAGATTACCCGTTCAACTATCATTGACTTTAGTGGTATACCCATCTTTGATTTTTTGCTATTTGGGTCAAGGTGCATATCTTATACACAATCCAGAAGCAATAAGTAATCCTTTTTTTATGTCAATACCTGGTGGATTGAATGGAAAATTATATTGGTTTGTCTTCATTTTAGCTACTATTAGCACAATTATTGCCTCTCAAGCGTTAATCTTGGGGGTGTTCTCAATAATCTCGCAGTTGATTAACTTGGACTACTTTCCTAAGTTGAAGATTGTCCATGTTGATAGGGACTATATCGGGAAGGTCTATATTCCAAGTATAAATTGGTTCCTAATGTTTGGAGTATTAGCAACTACAGCATTCTTTGAAACAAGTGAACGAGTGACCGCTGCTTATGGATTGGGGATTTCATTGGACTTTTTAGTCACTAGTATTTTAATCATCATATGTATGACTTATGTATATGAATGGAGATTTATCTTCTCGGTGATATTTGCCTTTGCTTTTATTCCATTTGAGTTGTTTATGATTCAAGCAAATTTAAGAAAACTTTATTGTGGTGCCTGGTTTTCTATCTTACTGGCATTTACCTTTTTCACCTTTCTTTATTTTTGGAATTGGGCAAGGTCTAAAAAAGTAGATCAAGAGTTTGCTGCTAGAGTTAAAATTGGAGACTTATATCCACAGTTTAAAAGGGCTCCGCCAAATGAAAATGAAGTTTTAAGGCTTGGAGAGAATGACTCAAGACCTGAAAAAACTAAGGTAAGAGGAAGATCTTACTTTAGATTCCAAGAGGAGTTATCTGTTGAGTTTAATGTATCATTGCATAATAGGCAAGAAATAACACCTTCGAGGCCAGAACCAAAATATCAACTAAAAATCAATTCTTTCGCAGGTAACCAAGTCTTAAAGAGATACGAAGGTGTGGGAATAATGTATACTGAAGCTTATCACACTCTAAATTCACCAAATACTGTACCCCAAATTTACAGACAAATGATTGAAACGTTTACTTGTATCCCAAGTATCTTCATATTTTGCACGATAAAGGTACTATCAATTCCAACGATTTTGGACGAAGAAGAAAGGATCTTACTAGGTAGCATGAAGATTCCCGGTCACTATCGATGTATCGTTAGATTTGGATTTTGTGAAGACGTGCAAATCAAGGATGATATCATTTCGAAAATCATTAATATGGTACCAGATTCTATGACATTGACAGAAAGGTTCAATCGATATGGAATCATCAATAAAATTGAAAGTGTTCCAATTTTACATATCTTTGAAAATGAGTTGATTAGATCTTACCAAGAGGAACATGACCATTCTCAAAGTGCACTATGCAAGGTTCGGGCATATAGTAGGAAGTTGTTAATAAATAACATATTCGGGCCCATTGATAATGCGCTTAGATCGAAAGACTACATGTTAAAGGTTGATGATGAGCACTTAGATAATCAAAAAAGAATATTTATCGGAAATATTGTTAGAATTTAACGAACGCAAGAGCTGTGAAGGTTGTGTAAGCCCATGTAGACCTTCTGGTTATAGGTTCGGCATTTGCAGCCATTCATTGAGCAGGTGCTGCACATTTTGTAAAAGTGTCCTGCATATCACATGCCAGCATATTGCTTCTATAGCTATATCTTTCAAACTATACATCACAGTCCAGCTGAGTATGCACATACTTATCTACTACTCGTAGATATGGAAAATAAGCGTAGGCAAGCCACGTACAATGATAAAAGGGTAACCACTAATCTTTCGCACATAGTCGAGAGGATCGTTCGAGATAGAATTCTTGACTCTCTCTTTTACAAACAGTATCTTTACCTAACGAATGAACTGACCATTCTACCAATCATCATACAAAATGTCAAATACTTGGCTGGTACCGATGCTATGGGCAGACCCTCGCCCTTCATATGTTGCCTTTTAAGGTTATTGGAGCTCAAACCGAGTAGGGAAATTGTCGAACTATGTTTGAATCAGCTGCAGTTTAAATACCTAACAGCGATAATGCTAACCTATGTGCGATTTGCATTTGCAACTACAGAAGGCGATGTCGAGATATACCAGCTACTAGAGCTGTTCTACCCAGACTATAGGAAATTGCGGTTCCAATTGAAATATCCGCAAACAATAGACGGGAAGCAACTACGCTATACAATTGGATATATCGATGACTGGGTGTATCAACTACTTACAAAGGAGAGAGTATTGGACTTAATATTGCCTAGAATACGGTCGAGGTCTTCTCTAGAGGACTCAGGGGAGTTAGAAGTAAGAGTTTGGAATACTGGAGAAAGTCCAACCGAGGACGAAAACAGTACTGACGATAGTGACTACGAGAGTGATAGCGATTAGCTCTAACTAACGAATAAACGATACATCATTTCTTAACATCTGTAGAGGTTCACCGTCCAACCTCAGCAGAAAGTAATTTTCCACCATCATCAATATATATATTTTTTATACCTGTGCACTTTAGTGCGCAACTTCGACACTAACACCAGTTACATCGTCACCAACGCTATGGATTGTAGATATCGTCGGTCTTGAAATCGAGATGTTTTTTTTTGTTTTTTTTTTAAAAAAATTAATTTAAGCTTTTGTTCTTCTTATTGCAATCACTTATTTTTTAGTTTTTTCCTTCTATTTTTGATTTTATTTTTTCTTGCCGACCTCTTTCAGATTGCTTCGGATATACACCATTCTTTTTAGTAAGTTCAATCTATATACTCCCCTACGCATCGTATTGATCTTTAAATATGGCGATCTCAGTTCTCACTCCTGATGGCGGGAACCTTACAGTAACTGAAAGCGCAGCACATGCCGCTGCGCTGAAGAAGAAAATAGTCGCTATAGTGTTTCTATTTATACTTTCATTAGTTACGTTTGTCTGTCAGACTGAGTTCACGTCTGCTGCATATAAATATGGATTCGAAGAACCAATATTCCTACTTCTAGTCACACATGGCCTGTGGTGGACTCTCTGGCCGTTGCAGATCATAATTATCTCGGTTTGGAGAACCATTGATAAGTATAATAGAGATCAAGACTTGGTAAAGCAGAAAGAACATTCAACAACGGCTACGGCAGGAACAAATGGAGGGGCTGCCCGTTACCAAAGATTGGACTCCCACTCTCAACTCTTGGAAGACCAGCAAAATGAATTGCCAGTCCATGCTTCTCCCCCTCCAACCAATTATTATTCATATTTTAAAAGGTGTATCGTCAAACAATTGCATAACGTGTACCACACCTCTATACTTATCTTTGAAGCAAATGTCAATGGTGATGTTCGTACTGAAAACCTTAACTTGTTAATAGACCAAAACCCTCGTATCTCCAATTCAGACTCGGTAGTTGATTGTGTCAGGCTGTTATGGGATACACCATCGTTTCAGTATATTTTCATTCATGGATTTTTAATTACTTTGGTCTTGACAGTTGCTGGGATCACCTGGTATGCTGCTATGTCCATGACATACGCTTCTGATGTTACCGCCATATACAACTGTTCAGCCTTCACTGCCTATGCATTTGCAATTCCTATTTTAAAGGAGCACTTTCTGTGGTTGAAAGTGAGTTCAGTGATAATTGCCATTACCGGTGTCTTCATCGTCGCTTACTCAGACGATGGCACCTCAACTGCACCAGGTGGGCAAGATGAACCAGCAGAATATCCCTATAGATTCTGGGGAAACTTGATCATTTTGATTGGTGCAGTCATGTATGGTTACTATGAAGTTTTATACAAAAAGTATTTATGTATTGGTCCACATATCGCCAAAGCTATCACACCACGTCGTCAAATGACTTTCGCCAATTTTGCCATGGGGTTTTTGGGTTCGTTCACTGTCCTCGTAATTGGAACTTCTGCTTTGGTCTGTGAGATCACTGGGGCCCATAGATTTAATTTATTCAATTATGGAGACAAGACTGGAACGATCTGGAAGTATATAATTGGACTGATTGTATCCAACTTATTGTTCAGTGGTCTGTTCTTGTCACTTATGGCCTTGACACTGCCTGTTTTATCATCTGTAAGTAGTTTGTTGACTATATTTTTGATAGGTATTGTTGAGTGGGTACTTTTTGGAACTACCTTGAGTTTCCAACAATTATTGGGGGATTTCTTCGTCATTGTCGGGTTTGTGATCTTAACTGTTGCCTCCTGGAATGAGATCAGCGAAGGTCACGATAATGATGACGTTGAAGCAGTTAGTACCTACTCGATGGCTATGAGTTTTGATGAGTGATAGAGTTGCATAAATGCAACCGAAAAAAAATAAATAAATAAATAAAATAGAAAGCCTAAATTGAAGCGCCTTATAAGGAATTTGACAAACTCCTAACTAAGCAATGACTTGTTATCAAAAATATATAAACCCTCTGACAATTTCCAAAGGACCCAATAACTACGTAAATAGTCTACTTTGATAGTTAAACACACATTTACAATTGCCAACCTTGTAGAAGCTTCTCCACACATTTTAGAACAGTGCAGCAATTCGCGCAGGCGATATGGAAAAGCCAAAGGTGATTCAACTTCAAAATTGGTGAACTAGGGCGCTCGGTATATACATTAGAAGTGATACAGATACATATATAAAATGACTCTTGATCTGGATAAGCAGTCGGACGATGCCTTTAGAGGTCTCATGAAAAATTTGAACCTCGACGAAACACAATTCAAGAGCTATGTGACAGATTTTGCACAGTTGACATTTGATCAGTTGGTGGCAACCAAGTCAGAAATCGAAGCGCAGTTAGGTGTTTTATTTGACATATTGAAGAGCAATTACAAGGCTGATATGGATACCCAGTTGGTTGTGGATGGGTTCCCTAGAGCGGATATTGATGTTGTAGGTATCAGATTGGTAAGAGTGAAGATTATCAGATTGAGAAACGATTTGAAGAGCTTGATAGGGCTATTAGAAGAGAAGCTTGTAGAACAGTTCAGCAAGACAAAGCAAGAACCGCAGCTGGCTCTGGTCGATCCAAGTGGTGCGGAAAATACAGCTACAAGTCCGGAAGACAGGACGACAGGAACGCCGTTTGCAACTGTCAATTTGGTGGTGAAAGATGGCCCAGCTTTTCAATCTGGGTTGAGAGAGGGAGACCGGTTAATTTGGTTTAGGAATGTTGGTGCGAGTACTGAGAACAAACTTTCACATATTTCGGTGATAACCAAAAGCAGCTTGGACAGGGCCATAGAGGTGGTGGTAAGCAGAGAGGTAGATGGAACATCTAAGGTGATAGTGTTGCACTTGGTTCCTACAGAAAAATGGGAGGGTAAGGGTGTCTTGGGATGTCAAATAAAGGTTGATTAACCTGTCCGCATTTACTTACGATAAATAAATATACTCATAATTATTATTTTTTTTTTCTACTATGTAACACCTCAATGAGGTATGGTTGCCATCTCTAACCACCATGTAACGTACTGGTAAACGTATATACATCCCCGGATTCCAATACGTACTCCTCCATTCCTTCCAACTCCCAGTCAGTGTCATTTATCAACACCAAAATTCCCGGGCGTACGCTGTCGTCCTCTATAAAAACTGGAATATCTTTGGGGTCGGTAATGATATTCTCACAGATGTATCTTATCAAGTCTCTTATAGTAGCATCACCTTCTTCGAAGGGTAAGTTAACCTTGTGTTCCCTAACATGGCTTGAAATGACATCAAGACCACCCAAGAATTCTATTTTAGCCTTCATGCTGGTGCTATTCTAGGTACCTATGCTAAGTATACAACCAAAGGTGAAAAGATACCTAGCTGAATCCGACCCCATCTCATGAAAATCATGCACCACCAGTATCTGCCGCAGAAGGCAGCCTGCACTTAGCACTTAGCGAGTAGCGAAGATCACCACCACCAAAAAAAATAAAAAGAGCAACAGATTGCAGCACGAGAGTTTCGCGTATGGTCTCCCACTACACTACTCGGTCTCGCTCTTAGCAGCTTAACTACAGTTGATCGGACGGGAAACGGTGCTTTCTGCTAGATATGGCCGCAACCGAAGGTGTGTGACCACACAATTGCTACTTCAGGTTACCATTCTCCATACCCTACACCTCATATCGGCACGCTCTAGTGCCTGCATTTAGCGCTTCAGCGATTTTTCGCCAAAAACGAAAAATGCGAAAATTCACAGAAGTTAATACGTAAACATATTCCAGGAGAGGTAGAGGTGTCTTTCTTCTTGCAATTCACATAGATATATACCGAAATAATGACCTTTGGCAGTCGTTTTTCATTAATTGGGTTGTTGATAACCCTCTTCATTGCCTCTGTGCATGCTTTTGAGGCTTTGGTTGTGTATGATGCTGCAGTTCTGAACTTGGAGAAAGACGTTTCTTTATTGAATCCTGAAATTTCCAAGTTCTTGGAATCGAACTCGCTTTCCGCAGAATTCAAGACGTACACAGACGAAACCCTTGAGCTTTTCTTTGCAGGCCAAAAGAAGTATAACCACCTTATCCTTCTCCCTTCATCCAAGAAGGCAATGGCAAAGAAATCGTTCAACCAGCACTTGTTATTGGACTTCATCAGTGAAGAGGGTAACATATTGGTTGTTGGTGGCTCCAAGTCTGTCTTGCCAGAAGACATCAGATCCGTACTTAACGAAATTGGTATCTACCCTTCACCAAAGGGATATGAATTGATCGACTATTTTAACCAAGAATCTGATAAAGGTGTCAGTGGTGTTCAATTGAAGAAAGAAAACTTTGTAGCTCCAAAGGTTTTACCATTTAAGTCATCTCTCGGCTCCTACACTGGAGGTGCAGCATTGATTTCTAATAACGAGAACATTCTCCCACTTGTCAGAGCATCCTCTACGTCATTCAGTGCTCCAATTGAAGAACTGGATATTACCATCACCCAAGATAAGACATGGACCTTAGGTAAGCAAGGTTTTGCTGCTGTCGGAGTGCAAGCCCTCAACAACGCAAGATTGGCCTGGGTTGGTTCAGAATCTTTGGTTGATGAGGAATTGCTTAAATGGAACTTCAAGGCTAAGGGTGTCTTAAAATTACAATTCACACAACACCACAAGCACGACGAACCTCAATTTGCCAATAACAACACCCTTTACCGTATAATGGACCAGGTCATTTATACTGTCGGTGTGTCTGAATTGAAGGAAGGTAAGTGGACCACATACGAAGTAAAAGATGAAGATGATCAATTACAATTATCCTTCAAAATGTTGGACCCATACCAAAGACTTAATTTAGAGCCTTTGGGCCCAGCTTCTAGCTCAGAAGAAGATAGTGAACTCGACACCTTTGTTTATTTCACTAACTTTACCTTGCCAGACCACCATGGTATGTTCACTTTTGAATTGGATTACAAGAGATCTGGTTTAAGCTACTTACTTGATAAGAGAATCGTTGCTGTTAGACATTTAGCAAACGATGAGTACAAAAGATCATGGGAAATTACTAATGCCTGGGTTTACATTGCCAGTGCAGCTGCCGTAGTCTTAACGTGGTTCTTGTTTGTCATAAATTTCATTTATGTTGGAAATATTGACTACAGTAAGAAGAATATCTAAAACCTAATGGGAAATCCTAAAATTATATATATTTAAAAAAACACATTTATAGTATCAACAAAAGATAAAAGCGTATAGAACTATCCAACTGACTGTAAGACAGAAGTAGCGTTGTATCTGACTTTACTCACGTACTCGATACCTAGTGGGTTGTCCCAATTGGGGCGTCCTATTTCACTATTACAAAATAGCTTCACATAGTCACTAGTTGCACAGTAAGCGTGCGTTTTGGAAAGTAACTTCAACTCTTGAACATTTTCATCAAACTCTTCGTCTCCAAGAAACTTCATGGCAGTTTTGCTCCATCTTGAGTATCTCTCTCTTGGATAAAACGATACGTATGATGGTCTTGCAATAATTTGACCAACCGAGCCTGCTTTGAGCGAACAAGTATCCAGCAGACTAAACACTCTGTATCTGGCAAGCACTTCAGACTGCGTGAATTCCAAGGTGAAGATTGCAATCAGCTGGGAAATTGACTTGGCTATTCCAAACTTTGCGGCTCCCAGCAACGAGTACTTCAAAGTGAGTGAACCACCCTCACCAAGCTCCTGTGATTGGCATGTACTGAGCGGAATAAACCCAGGATATGTCTGAAGGGTAATGTTTGTTTGCTCGAACTCCACCCAATTTGTAGTAATGTGCTTCTTGGGTGCAAATGGATTCCACCAACTTGAGCTGTCGAAAACTTCATCAAGATCTTCAGGCTTGTCTTCGTCATCGTCTCCACCTGTAAGCTTGTACTTTGTTAAGTAGGTGTTTGTATCTTTTAGTACGAACAAGACGTCATCCCTGTCAGAGTTCAATAGGGCGCTATACTTGGGACTCAGTTCAATTTCGTATTTGTCTGCCACATAAAACACTTCAATCTTTGGTAGCGAGTTATCAGCAGTAGGGGGAGTGGGTATACTTAGTGCTATGGATACTCGGGAAACAGCAAGTAAGAGATGCAGGAACTTCATAGCTAAACCAATGGAGAGAAGAGAAGGTTAAAATAGAACGGGACTATGTGATTACAAATATGATGAAGTATGCATTTATATAACGACAAATGGTAATTCAATCATTCATATACTGACAAGTGAAAAGTTTGGTATGCTTCCAAAAACAGCTGAATGAAGAGGCTTACACTAAAAGAGATAATAAATGTACTCAAACAGTAAAAGAAGAAACTTCACCACACGCATATCACTCCGCTACATACCAAGAATCAAATAACCCATTCCATCTAGCACTTCGGCAACATGGTTCCTCCAATGGCTACTTCTTTCACCTACAGTGCTCCTTGATATTTGCAGCCGTTCATGCATATTGGTATATGCTCCTGTATATAACACATACATGAATCGAATTTTCGATGAAAATTTGGCCAAGCTAAAGAAGTCCACTGCTTTGGTACACCTTGTTTCACCGATCTGTACGTCCCATTACACATATATTACAAAGATGTCTGAAATCGACAAGCGCCAAGAGCAGGACAAAAAGGCGCAACTTTTACAAAATCAATACAACCAATATCAGGAAACTTTGACAGAAGTTCAAACGCAACTTAGTACAATTTCATCACAGATTGAAGAACATCAAATAGTTGACAAGACGTTGGTTGCAATTCCACCATCTGAACGCCTGAACAGAAAATGCTTCAAAATGGTAGGAGGTGTGCTTGTAGAGAAGACGGTAGATGAAGTTATAAGGCTTTTAGACCAAGACTTAAAGAGTCTTGCTACCAGTAAGACTAAATTAGAGAGTGAGGTGGTGAGAGTGAGAAAGGAAATGGAGAGTTGGATGAAAGAGAAGAACGTAAAGATTGTTCGTCAATAGAATACTCTGTAGATGCCTAGAACTACAATTCCCTATGTATATACCGCCCCAATAAGTATCAAGTTGCTGCTGCTGCTGCTGCTGCTGCTGCTGCTGCTGCTGCTCCTACAATCATGAAACATTCACTCAAACACATACATTACTAATAATAACACTTAAATTTAACTCATATTGTATTTTTTCTTTCTACGTAGAAATTGCTTTCACATATGAAACACGAGCCTCACTGTTCTTTCCCAAATCTCTATTGATAGCTTCCCATTTTGGTTCATCTTGGAATAGTCTTACAGCTTTTACTTGTTTCAACTCGCTGGTCAAGGTGAAACGGTGGTAAATACCAGCTGGCAAGATAAGTAAATCGTTTGGGGTTAATTTGGTACGAATCCAGCGATCGTTTTTGTTTCTCACATCGAAGTACCCTTCCCCTTCCACTATATATCTGATTTCCTCGTCTTCGTGGTAATGTTCCTTGTAAAAAGTTTGCATTTTAGCATTGTATGCGTCCAAGTCACCTCCAAATGAATCCAAATTGAGATTTACAACGTCCCTGTTTTTATAATTTCTTTCCTTTGCAACTTGATTCAACTCATCCTCAGTTTTGATGTTGAAATAGAGCACACCGATTTTTTCAAGCGCTTCGAGGGAAACCGGTTCGCCCGAGTTGTGTGCTTCGGTAAAGTTGTCTGGCGTATCTTTATCGTCGTGGTAGTAAGCGCTAACCATTTTTGTACGAATATATCAATAACAGATCAAAGAAAGGAGTACATGTAAGCAATAAATACCTTGCTCTGATTCAATGAAATTTAAGTTAATTTGCCTGGAGAATAAAAAAAAAAAAAAAAAAACGCACCGTATGGGGAAGTTGCTCCAGATCTGTAGAGGGCTGTTATATTTCAGATTAGAGTAGGATTTCTGCTAATTTACGCTTAGAGGGATCTCTGGAGCCGTAGCTTTATATTTTGCTGGCGAATGTTGACATTTTGCTCTAACACAGAGGAATCAAGGGCTAAGGGCCAGGGCTAAGTAGGGCCTTAGCTATGGTACACGTGCGGTGTAGAGAAGTTACTGTGGCTGCGAAATTTTCATTATCAATATGGCTCTGCATTGATATAGCGGCTGCGACTAATGTTTCAGTGAGGTTTGGGATGGGGGTGTGGATAGCGAAACGGGGTGGTTTAAAAGATTTTGGAGCGATAGGAGTACCAGTTAATGAATATTTGAGGCATAGAATGTATAAAGGAAAAAGAAAAGGAAAAGGAATAAACATAATAACGATAGTAGTCCAAGGCTGCTCCAAGTAGCAAAAAGTAGAGCGAAAATTGTTTATTTTGACAGGCCCCCACTGGTGAGAATATATACTTTGTGAACAACCCTATCACCGAAACAAATTCCAGTTTCTCTCTCTCAAAATGTAATAGCCTAGCTACGCTAGTACAACAGAAACTAAATCTTCATGCTAATATCCAAACTTCTGTTCTGCTAGTTGGAATATAGGGTGCTCTGTGGTCGCTCACTGGTAGGCTGCATATGCGTTACCTAATTCGGACGTATTATGCAACCATTTTTCATCTCTGTTTCAATGAGTGCCGATTCACTGCAACGCCAGAGTAAAAAAGCAAAAAAGAAAGAAGTACGCCTCATGATTGCTGAGCCGACAATGGCCCTCCGCCTCCCCTCTCCCTTTCAGTCCTCCCCGCCTTCTCTGTATCCCCTGCCACCCTCCTGCCATACACAAGCAGCAAGACATCAACATCTCAACATCACGTGACACAACCTCTCTACCTTTTCTTCCCTTTGTGTGAGTTTCAAATTTTACAGTAGCTCCATCAAATTTCAGTCAGGCTATAGCACCTTTCCTTTGCCAGAACACATCAACCAATGCTGTATAACAACAATAACAGCAACAGCGGCGGCCAGTCGTACAATAGTAGCCACCATTACAACGGGCGAGGTGGATACAGCGGAGGACGCGGTGGATACAACGGAGGTGGTGGATACAGTCGAGATAGAGGTGGAGACCGTGGTGGGAATAGAGATAGAGGAGGCGACAGAGATAACAGAGGTGGAGACAGAGATGGAAACTACGGTGGAGATGGTAACGGGCACGGAAATGGACATGGAGGTGGAGGGGGAGACAGAAATGGTAATTCCTCCAACCAACCCTATGGCCAGAGTTTGGAAAACCAACTAGCCTCTCAAGAGAGAAGAACTGCACACAGAAGAACAGTAGACCATGGTAATAACATGGGTCGTTGGTACATTAATAGAAGTATAGGGCTCGATGACCAAGCAATTGGTAAAATAAGGCCCGAGTCCTCTTATTTGATTGACTTGTTACCCTCACCAGCGTATGCCAACAACCATAAGCATAACATGGGGATAATGGATACCCAGACCAAGTTTGTCCATCTCTCGTCCAACAAGGCCAAGCATTCTATAAACACGGTGAAATGGACGCCGGAAGGTAGGAGATTGGTGGTTGCGTCGCACATTGGAGAATTCACCGTATGGAATGGTATGACGTTCAATTTCGAAACTATTATGCAAGCTCATGATCTGGCGATCTTGTCCTTGAAGTACTCTCATAACGACGAATGGTTGTTAAGTGGTGACCAAGAAGGTACGATCAAGTACTGGCAACCGAACTTCAACAACGTCAATATCTTGAAGGGGCACACAGACGGGATTAGAGATATAGCCTTCTCTCCTAACGATACCAAGTTTTTAACTTGTTCAGATGATTCGTCGATCAAAATATGGAACTTCAATAACGGACAGGAGGAAAGAACATTGTCAGGGCATCATTGGGACGTGAAAACTGCAGATTGGCATCCAAATTTGGGTCTTATAGTGTCTGGATCCAAAGATAACTTGATTAAGCTTTGGGACCCAAGGGCCCCAACGTGTATCTCAACTTTACACGGGTTTAAGCATACGATAACCAAAGCAAGATTCCAGCCCAACGGTACCAAGAGGTTATTGGCCTCGGTTTCTAGAGACAGATCGTGCAGAATCTTTGACTTACGTACCATGAAAGATATCTTAGTGATCAGAGACCACGAAACAGATTTATCCTGCGTAGAATGGCATCCAATCCACCCATCTATGCTTACTACTGCGGCCTACGATGGCTCCATGAATCATTATTTGTTGAATTCGTACATATCAGAGGGAAAACTGGAATCCAACAGTAACACCTCAACTTCCATTGAAGCCACTCATAAGATTCCGTATGCACACGAAAGAGCAATCCATGCCTTGGAATACCACCCCTTGGGTCATTTGTTGTGCTCTGCTGGTGCTGATAGACTGGCTAGATTCTGGTCGAGAGCCAGACCAAACGATCCCATGGGATTCCAAGATGCATTGTATACGAACGAAAAGGCTGGCGCTTGGTACTACGGAGTCAATAATAATATTAACGCCGTCATTGAACCCACCAGTCAAAGTAAAGACCTGGCCAACAATAACCATGCCAATCAAATTAACGGCAACGCAGGATTCAGCGTACCAGGTATCAGTGGAGATTTCTCCATCCCTGGAATTGGTACATAAACTTGGCATATTTCTTACAGTTTGTATTATAATTAATAAATATTTTATATTCGTACATAAAACCAAAGAATTATCTTTGGAATACATAGTGTGTTATCTATAAACTTCTATATTACTTTTGTTCCCAATTTTATTTACCTTATTTCCCATAAAAGCTTTGTACAGCCTCTAAATACTGCTTCCCTTGCTTTTCCTTATAATGCTTGACAAAGTCCTCAATCAATTCCATTGTAGAGCTGGGGTTGGAATCCATGCCACTATTGATATTCTTAGCATCTATAGTTGTCCTACTCTTGTCTTTGAAATCGACAAATTTGTAGCCCTCTCCTGCGTTTTTGATTGAAATATATTCTCCGAGGAGCCCACTGTATTGCTCCAACTCCTCCTGGTTGATAGGAACATATGCTTTGTGATAATTGTCAGCTCTTCTCTTGAAATCTCGTATGGAATACTCGTAGTCCTTGTCCCTGTAGTCAGGATTGTAAGCCTTCCCGTTAATGTTGTAATTTATGATGCTTGGATCGTCCACTTGGACATCGAATAGCACCACGTTATCGATTTTCACGAGGGATGTGTTCTGGATTACTGACATCAAAAGTCTCCTTCTCTCCAATGTAGTGTTGGTAGCATCCAAAAACCCACAGCTTATCTTATTGGATTTCAAATCCTGCAACATTGTGTCGAGTGCCATCAAGGCAAAGTGGTCCCTTTGGCATTTCCCGCTAATATTTGCAGGATCAAAGTAGTCTGAGTTATCGAAAGAAGAAGATTTTTCGTGTTCTTGACGACGGACATCTCCGGTGTTGTATATCTTACAAAAGGAGCCATTCCCATTCAAGTAGGATGCCAACTGTTTGCAGATGGTTGATTTGCCTGATGCTGGCAAGCCGATCAATATCACTATTGTCTTGGGTTGTAAAGAAATCGACACCGATTTCACAAAGTAGCTCCCATCGCCAGTTGCATAGTTAGTGTTGATCTTGTGCAGTTCAAATGATCCAGTAGGTGTCATTGCAACACTGGTGGCTGCAGTGGATATCATTGAGCAGTTATTCGATGTCATTTTGTGTCCAAACATATAGTCAAGCGAAGAGTTTGAGCTTGACAGCGATATGGTGTTATTGTTTGAGTTCATTCCCTTGATATGGTTGACGAATTTTAGGTGATGCTCTACGGCCATGTCAAAAATGCCACTGAGCTTATTGCAAAAAACTTAAAATTAATTCTTCCGGGTGTAAAAAGACTTCCACAATAAATTTATTTGAATGTTCTTATAAATTTCTGAGGTTATATATCGTCACTTAACACTCCCGAAACTACGTGAGTTAATTTCCTGTCGATTATATATTATTTTTTGGCCTTCTTTCTCTTCCACTTAAGTATGGTGATGTGATCACCTTAATATTCTCTTACCTGGAAAAATCTCGGCTACAACGTGCGGTCCGGAAAAAAGAGCATCTCTAAGCACCACCACACTTCTTTTTTTTTTTTTTAAGTGATGAACTTTCTTTTCTTTTTTTTTGTTCGTGTTCCCCTCTTTGGATTTGTTGGCTATTTGGATAACGAAAAATGTAGGAAAGATAAAGGTAATCGCCAAGGGGTTGAAATAGAGGCTCTGCCTAGAACCTGAATATGATAAGCGCCTACAAATATCGATATTATTACTGAATTTAGGTTGGATTGCCTACCGTATTTTATTTCTATTAGTATGTACAAGAGTGGTGCCAGTGTCTTTGCCTCAGCTTTTTTTTTTTTTTTTTTTTTGCTTTAAATTTTTTGTTCTGCAGTTTGATGGCACGTTACGTCACAGAAACGCGCAACGGGCCCAAAAGTGGTAAAAAGGAAAGTCCGAGATTCTCGGATTAATTATATACAAGCTCGCCCAGATGCCGTGCTCTGGAGCCACTATCTGAGTTCCCCTTATCTCTGGGCCAGACCGTCTTTTGAGCCCGTGCTCTATCTTGATTTGTTTCTTTTATCTCAGGAATGTTTTCTATTGGATTCTGGTGGGACTCTGTTGCATTCTTTTTGGGACTCTCTGGAAACTCTTTGGATTCATTTTGGATTTGAATTGTGTAGACAATTGCAATCGTGATTTTTTGCCTTAGTATGTCCCGTTTGAGCCATCTAGAATAGTTTCTCTAATTGCCCCGTTTCGGCTATTTAGAATAGCTTCTTTCGTAACTGTAATAGTTTCTCTAAATGCCCCGTTTTGGCTATCTAGAATAGCTACTTTCGTATCCGTAATAGTTTCTTTAAGTGCCCCGTGTTGGCTATCTAGAATAGCTTCTTTCGTATCTAGAACAATTTTTTTTGCATTCGAGTGCATTGCGTTGACAATTTCACGATTTTTCTCCTTTATATGTCCCTTGGCTTGTAGAGCTTCGGAGGGTATTCAAGCGATTCCCATTTTTTGGATCTGACTTTACCGATCGCAGAGTAAACTCTCATGTCATTCTTCACATTGCATTCAATGGTCTCATCGATTGTAGTATTGTCACTTTTGTGTACTGGCAGGAATACTGCTTTCTCGCTGTCAGGCGTGGTTCTCGTTCCTGCTGGTCTTTCTACCCCCTCGCCTTCATCAAAAAGCTCATCGTCTTCTTCCACTTCGACTTCAGCCTCTTCCACGATTTCTTCGCCTTCGATATCTTCGATTAACCCTTCATTTAGTGCCCTTTCGAAATTGATTACCAACTGTTGAGCCCTAAGTCTCATCAATCTTCGATACTCTTGAGCGTTTGTATCCAACTTTTCGAAAGAATACATGAGATCCCACGATTGGTTCTCTGAATCTGGGTAGCTGGCCTTCTTTCCGTCTATTAGATTCCTTGTTGTCATCCTATAATTGAAAACCCCGTACCTGGATGATGTGTTACTAAACTCTATTACCTTATTTCTGTGTTCCTTTAATTGCTCAAGCTTCTCTTCCGCAGGGATATCATCTTTAAAGCTTGTTTTGAATGCCTTTGGTAAGCTTTGAAGCATTTCAACTTCTTTTTCTTCCAATGGGACCGCCATGATATTGAGCCTAGCGTAGTTTCCAACGTTGGTATATTTGTAAGGAGCTTCAACGATATCATCGCCCAGTAATTGAGCTTTGACCACCAATCTGAAAGAAATCTTTTCATTCTCACCACCCTTGGTAATATCTTTAATGATTGATGTTAACATTGTCTCCCATAATTGAAGTGATTGCTTGAATTGCGTATTGGCAACATAGCTTGGCAAACTGTCCTTCACATCAGTCAATGTCTTAATGTCTTCAATATCTGGATCAATAGATTTACGCTGGTGGGAATAGAACACCTTGTCAATATCTTCCAAGGGTAAATATTCAAATCCAAAGAAGGAATTTATATTATGGTATGCAAGAAATATCCCATCCATTTGCCCAATTCTAGCTTGAAGGCCATATTTCATTAATGCCGACGTCCTTATGAGATCATCATATTCTCTCTGGAATGACTCAAACTTTCCCCTAAGCTTCCAGATTTGGTAGGTATTGTTATTCAAATCTTTGTTTGCCTGGTCATACCTTATCGCACAGACCGCTCTGGTTTTCAAATCAAAGGTACCGTTACCTGGTAATCTCTCGTCAAAGCAATCCAACTGAGATCTCATTAGGAACTTACCATATGAGGCATAGTTATATATGTTGTCTGTGCTAGAGTCGACTTCATCTTTCGATTTCTTGTCATCCTTTCCGTCTTTCTTAAATTTCGCAAAATCCTCTTCGCTATTCGTCAATAGGGCTTCCAAGACATGGCCCATAGCCAGTAATACAATCTCTTGATCTGTCAGTTTGTCTGATTCAATCGAATAAATAGGTTCCCCATTGTTGTCGAGCCCTTTATATTGAACTATCACCGAAGCTGGAGTCTTCAAAGTGAGTTGGAAAAATGGGCTGAAGTCAAATCTTCTTTTGTCCTTTGGGTTGTAATTGTTCAATAGCATGTAAAACTGCGTTAATACACTGGTCATTGAAGAAGTAGATGACATAAACATCTTATTTTGTCCCTGTGCCTCCTCAAATAACCTAGAATCCTTAGATGGCGATACAAACCCCAGTAAAGCATCGGGGTCAAAGTTTTCCAACTTAATGATCTTTTTCAAGTTCGGCAGAAAGTTGAACACTCTAGTTCTAGGATCCTGCAAGAAATGAACTCCTGGAGAGAACAACGTTCTATCCAAATTGTGTGCAAGCTTAGCAATCTTATCTACATCTGGAGCCTTTACTTGTTCTACGTCATTATTCTGAACTGATATTGTTCCACGAACTGGTTTCACAGCAGCCTTCTTTTCTTTCTTAGAAGCAGCTGCACCAGTTTTACGTGATTTTATTCCTCTTTTCGGTTTAGAAGTATCTTTAGATTGTGATGTTAATGCTTGCCTTATTTCAGCAGGAATAAACTTGGAATTAATGATCTCTTGTTGGTACTTTTGAGCAGAAGATGAACTACTGTTACCGTGGTTATTGTTGCTACTTCTGCCATTGTTATTAGGGGTTTTCTCTGAATTTGCACTGCTTTTACCACCCAGAGAGGAAATCGGAATAGACTTGTGCACATTGTTGATTTCTTGCTTAGAGACTTTTACTTTACTTGAGAGTAGTATACTCTGCAAATCTGCGTTTCCCACACTGTTCGATACTTTTGGAAAATTCTCTTTATCTTTGGACAATAACTTTACACTACTGCAAAATAATCGAATATTTCGTATCGTGCCATGCTGACCAGCTCTAGATATAGACATGATTTCGTGTCCTTGAGCCAGATATATCGCCTTTCTGTTCCTACTACATCCTCTTGGAGATCAATATTTTCAAGTAGGTCCATGTCAGATGAGATGGTGATCCCGTGATCCAAATCACGTGCCTTTTAATTTTGATGTATGAAGTTCTCTACACGCAACCCATAGTTAACTATTTGACAGCAACATATGGAAGGTGATGTGAATAGGAAAAGAAATAATAAAGAGATTTAAGAGGCTCTAGTACAGTGACAAGTTTAAAATAATATCCAGATTATCCTATCTCCCAAAAAAAAACATAAAAATACTCCAACATTGGTCTCAATGAAGGGGCATTTAACCTATAATACTCTACCGCTATATATATATATATATACATATGAAGACAGTGGTGATACTCACCAACAACAAATAACTGTCTAACATCAATTGTATAATCTTCTATCTAATTCTCTCAAAACATTTGCGACCGATTGCACTTCAACTTGCATTCCTCTAGTTGTCAATTTCCCAACCAAAGTACTAAAGTCAACTGAGCTAAACTTTTTATGTCTAGACAAAGTCTTATAAGCATCAGAACATGGAATAAACATACCAGATTCTTGTTGTGCCTGTTCCTTTAGTTTCTTCTCTTCTTCCAATTGCTTTTTCTTCTCCAATTCTTGCTCTTTCTGTTGCAGGTCTCGCACAGCACTTTCCCTTTTGCCGATATTTGCAACTGTCGTACAGAAGAGAGTAGACATTGGATCCATTTGACATTGGCCACATGTACCTGGATTTCCAGTACATCCTGATGGCTCTGAGGTAGATTCACGTCCACCGGAAGAAAATGAAGACGCTGATGGAGTCTGGGGTTGTGGTGTTGGTGTACTTGCTTCCGCAGCTGCAGCCAAGTCAACTAATGAACTTTGTGCTGGTTGCCTTGCAGAAGGTCCCACGACATTAGGAACTGCTCCGGGTGAAAGGTTAGCAATATCTCTAATCTCAACGGATGGTCCTGGGTGCATAACAGGTAATGAAGTCTTTCTGAAACTGTTAGAATTAAGGATTGGCGGTAAAGAAGTTCCCACTTCACCTACTTCATCCTTCAGCTCATCATCCTGTAATACGTCGTTGTTCAAAGTAGTATTGATATTTGCAGCTTCCTTTGCAGCTTCACGACAAACGCATGGGGTATCGTCAGTACAGAATCCACAATTTTCCACAGGAGATGCTTCATTGAAATCCTCGGTACTTCTCCTTTGAGATTCCATGAATTCATTATTATTTCTCTTTGCCACAGACTTCTTTTTAGTTAACTTCGAAAGATCAGGCATCGGCTTTTTTATTGTGAATTTCTTAGTGAAGTCGATTTCAATGTCCAGTGAGGTAGCCTTCCTCTTCTTCAAGGAAACAGCTGGCATAGGTTTAAAGGAATTGATAGTTTCTTCAAGGGCTACAGGTGGAGATCTCTTGACTTCTTTCAAGCCAACAGCTTCACACAAACATTCTTCTTTAATACACACTCCACAATCATCTTCCAGTATGGTAGTGGTTTGAGACAGCCTATCAGCAATGAAAGCTGGTGGAGAATTTCCTGAGGGAGCTGGGGAGATTTGCTGCTGGATTATTGAACCGCCAGGGGACGCCATGGAAGTTGCTGGTGAATTAGAGCCAGAATGCATATGACGTGGTGAAGAGTGTGATTGAAGTGAAGCGGAAGCGATAGATAACGATAAGGGCGTTCTACCTAAAGTATTGCCATTCATGTTATTATTATGACTGCTGGTACCATTAACACTTCCGCTGTTACTGCTTGGAGGCGTAGGGGCGTTGCTAGGGGTATTAGAAGAGTTCCGTAACATGTAAACATCGGATCTCAACTTTTCTATATTCTTGATCAAAAACTGGTTCTCAGTCCTCAACTTGTTGATGGTACTTATAAATCCGAGCTCTTTAGCTTCCCTTTCCTTTTCAACTTCCAGCAATTTCTCTTCAAGTTCCTGAACTCTAGTTGCTCTTCTCTCCCTAAAGGCTCGTTGAGCAGCGCGATTTTGCGCCTTGCGCTTCGAAGCAGGTGTATCAGGACTAGGCTTCCTGCCTGGCTTAGGTCTTGGAGGTAAAACCCATTCTTTTGACGTTACTATAATGGAGCTTGGTCTAGCAAAATCACTAGATGGTGTGGAAGCGTGTGGTGACATTGCCTCCGGTGATTCGATCGGAGATGCCGCAATATGTAATGGTTCTTGTCTTGGAATAATCTTAGACATATCTGCTATATTAGTATGTGCTTGATTTAATTAACAAGAAGAGTAAACGGATCTCTTTAACAACCCTATATTGCTATGTCTCTCTTTTTTTTTTCGCTTTATTTTTTTAGGTCTTTAACCTCTATGTAATTTTAGCCAATGGTGGTGACTGATGAAATAGATAAAATTTTATCTTTTTCATCAGTCTGTGTGCAGGCAGCCAATCACCAGATGATCACTCTTCCGATACGGAGCGCCACCTGCACACTGAACCATCTAGATGTAATACACATAGAGAAGTGAGATTGGTGTAAATAGATACATACGTTTGCCAAGACTAGTAAATCAGGCTAGGAGAGATAATGTGCTCACTTTAGATCTTAAAAAGTGAAGCTTTGGCCCTCTATTTTTATCAATTTATGGTGTGTTGCGTGCACTGAAGGCAACTGTCTATGTTTTCTAATAGATGAAGTAAGCACAAAGAATGTAAGGGATCAGGAGGGCAGTCAATATTCACAAGTTTTGGTGACTTTTCTCTATTAATGTATATATTTTTTATATTCCTTTCCTTGCAGAGATACGATAAGACCAAACACTATTATCCAGCCTGTTACTTATCCTAGAAATATGTGTACGTTCTATGACTTTAGCCGAATCGAAACTGATTTTTTTTCCTTCTCTGTCAGGCTGATGAGCTCACAAACATGAGAATATAATTGAGCTTCGCACGCCCACTAATGAGGTATGTGCTAAGATGGTGTGATGGGAGCACCGAAGGACGTATGCCAATGGTTTCTGGTTGACCACGACTGTCATTAGTGTATCTCTAGCATACGAGATATCAGTGTCTCTCTTAAATTGGCCCTATTATTTTTCACAAATTTCTTACTCAATTTACTACTACATTTTACTCTCTTTAAATGTTTATCTATTAAATTTGTATGTTTAACATTTGCTATAACCAAATGGGTGGTCATTGTTATCATTTCTCCTCTTCTACTATGTACATTTTGGCCTTTGTTTCAATCAGGTCCCTATTATGCATCTTGCGCCTTTTCAGCTTGTGCCTTTGCAATGGATTCTGGGGTTGGTGCACCTTCAGTAATCAACTTATTTAAGGTGATTTTACCAAATTCATCTTTCAACTTCTTTTCTTCTTCCAAGAACTTTGGAGCATTTTCCTTCAAGTACTTTTGGAAATGTTCGTACTGCATTTGACCATGTTCTCTGATAATATCCAATGGCATCTTAGGCTCCTTGGAAACTTGTGATGTTGGTACTCCCATTAAGGATGCCAAAAATGTTCCAGCGTTAGGTCTACTAGAATTTCTAAATAAGTGTTGGTTATCCTTCTTCCATTGCTCTCTCAATTTCAACTCTCTCTTTGCAAATTCTCCAATTACGTCAGTCTTGTCACCAAATGAATTCAAAATTGGTCTAACATCCTTAACTGGTTGAGTGGCCAAATACTCCAAGAATGGGATTAACTTAATCAAAGTATCGTCTGGCTTTCCGTCCCATTCCTTCATGGGGATAGCGTTCTCCGGTTGCAATGACCAAGAATCTGGAGACACATCGATCAAGATGGTCTTGCCCAAGTCACGGTTCAATAACGACAAATCTTTGATCAACTTACCGTCCTTGTAACGACAAGCCTCTCTAAACAAAGCGTAGGAAACATAAGCGTGCAATGGATCTAATTTGGCAACGGCCTTTTCAGAGTACATCTGCAAATTGGATCCAAATATAACGATTTCATAGTACTGAGATAAGTATCCCAAAAAGTAATCCAAACCAGGTCTCTTGGCGGTTCTCCAACCGTTCTTGGTGTCCCACTCCGAGTGGATCAATAAATCGTCCAAGGTTAATACTAAGGTTAACGGACGACGGTATGCTTCTGGAGCCGGTGGTGGCAACAAATTCTCGAACGCCGGTTCCTGGAAAAAAGTGAAGAGAGAACCCAACCTAGCGTTGAACCTATTGTACATTAAATCTGGCGAGTAACCGTTGGGAATATCTGAAGCTTCTAATCTCTTGGCTTCCTCTTCTGAATCCCAGTCCCTAGCCATGTATCCAACTCCGGCTACACCTCCTACCAATGTAGATAAGTAGAACCAATTGGCGTATTTTTCTCTTTGCAAGTCCTTGGAGGTCTGTGCTCTTCTCTTTCTTCTTGAAGATTTAGAATCAGTTTCAGACCCATCGCTTTCCTCAGCACCCTCTGCTGATTCACTGGATTTTGCTTCCTTTTCAACAGGATCATCAAACCCCGCCTTGGCCAACATGTCCTCGTTCAAAATAGATTGTGGTTGTTGCTGCTGTTGCTTCTTGGTATCATTTTTATCGGTGGAGTAGAACTTCAAACTATTCATAGGTCTGGCAATATTGTTCGTCAAAACACCTCTGGAATTCGATTTCACAACATTAGTTGCCAATCTTACAAACGTACTACCTCTAAGCATACTTCTAAGGATGTATTAGCTGATATTGGTGCCTGTACTGCTGTCTAAGCTGTCTGTGTCCAACGGCAATGTAAATTGAAAAAAAAAATGATGAAAAATATGGTTGGCGGTATATGCAGGACCACGTCCTACACACATACCGAAGGTGATGCAGAGGGTTTTAGGATGGGGAAAAGTGGAAGAAGGCACAAGGAAGTTCTCTTGTTGAGCCAACCGTATGTCTAGATACCAGCCATACATTTCATATAGCGCAAAAATGGTCCGAGCTCCTATTGCCAGAAGGGTCATATTGCGCCCTCTTTCTACCTACACCCCAGCCTTTGCTGTGTATAAAGACAAAGGTATAACCATAGAAGCACCTGTATATAACGAGAAGAGTGGTAAGTTGGTGGACTCGTTGAAGTATGCCAATGATATCGAGAAGACTAGAAAACAAATAAAGGCTATACCCAATAGCAAGAAGGCACCTATTCTACTCTCCAAGATTCAACCCTACCCGGAACTACTCTTCTTCCTAGCCAGATTCCATAAGGACTTGAAGAAGATTGGGATCACTAGAGAGACTACACATAATGAAAAATTAGGCAAAGTGTGGAAGTATAGGATACAATATATACTCCTGTTGCAGAGATTGCACACCAATTTCTTCGAACACTGTAGACTATTGGAGCTCACACAGCAGACTCACAAGCTTGGGTTCTCTCCAACCAATATTGGGATACTCGACCCATGCAACTTCACTCAGGAGAGTATTGAAAAATTGGAATCTGGAGAATTCGATGGAGTGAAATTTAACCATGTAGTGATGCACGGAGCCGATTTCAAGTAGGACTATAGAATAGTTAGGACCACGAGGGAGAGAAGGAGAGAGAGAGAAATAGAGATAGGGGATTTGAATGCTTTAACGTTAAGCTACTACTACTCTACCTCATGTATATATACAGACTTGTATATTGTTACTTAGACATGTACATTAAATAAATTTGCAGGGTAACCTCGCGAGCATTGCACTAGTAATTTCATTTTCTTTTCTTTTCTTCTTTTATTCTGATCATCAGATTATGGCTTTGGAATATGTAAGGACTTGGAAATTTCAGCACAACCTTGGAGTGCAAATCCGATAGCTACGACGTGGAATTCCAAAAATGTACCCTCAAGCAATTTCCCACCGGGCAAATTGTCCAAGATGTACCCTCTATTAACCAAAAATGCCATAAATCCAACCCATATCAAGTTGGATGGAATTGGCAAACCTTCAAAGTACTGAGACTTCCCGTGCTCGTCCTTGGGGATTTTGGTGGCCGAAATGTTGAATCTGGCCAATCTGGTCAAACCACATAAAACCCAAAAGGTCAACACCAACACATCAATGGTGGACTGGAAACCAATTGCAAACGCAATGCATGCAGGAGACACACCGAAGGAGATCAAATCAGCCAAGGAGTCCAATTCTTGTCCCATTAAGGAGGATTTATTTCTCAATCTTGCAACCCTACCATCGAAAAAATCGAAAAATAATCCTAACAAGATGAAAAAATGTGCTCTTTGCACGTAATGGGTCTGCCCAGTTAATGTGTACCTAAGACAAGAAACAATGGAATAAAAGCCACTGAACCCATTCAACAAGGTGATGAAATCAGCCATGTGGAGGTTTCTGATCATCGAGAAATGTCTATTATCGGCTATGAATGCAGTATATTCCTTTGGGTCTGGTCTGGGGAGCTCATCTTTGGCTGAAGACAATGAGAAAAGTGAAGATGATCTTCTTATAGGATGTGGGGCCAGTGCTCCATCTTTGTTAATGATGAGTTCCGAATCTGATTCATAATCTGAGGCAATTGCCGAAGACTTGTTCTTTTTGTCGACTCCAGATGCAATTGCTGACATTTTTACAGGAATTACGTTGTAGGGTTTGCTTAGAGAAGAAGAAAATACAATATTCTAAATTCGAGATCCACGTTGGCTATCTTAGTAGAAGTGCGTCGCTATAAATACAGATGACTAGTTTGTTTCGAGAGGAAAAAAAAATAAAAATTAAATTTTTCTGCTGGGGCAGCCTTAAAGCTTGCGGAGCAAGCCAAATGGTAAATAGCAAGCAATGAGGGCCAAATAGTGGTGTATATGGTAGCTGCACAGCCTTATGGAAAGGGAAGATTTTAGTACTGGGAAACGAATTAGAGGCAGCTACTCTACATTACGATGGCAATTTCAGAGAGATTTTTCAGGTCCATCACAGGTGCTTGGCTTGGTGCTTAGTGCTTTTGTTGTTCTTAAAATGTGTGAATCGACCTGTTTGACATTTACATGTGATTTTTTATTGCTCGCTACTCGCTAGGCGCTGTTTGTTTTGCTCGCTGTTTCCGTGTCGCTATTTTGCTGTGCGCTAATTAGCGCTACTCGCTAGGTGGCTCGCTAACGCACTGTAGTGCTAAGTAGTGAGGGAATGTGCCGCTTTTTATTTTTTGGGGGAGTACATCTGTGTGGTGGTTCCTTCTCATTTACTTAGCATAGCTTATCTTTGCCCAGTTTGACTTGATTATACCCCTCCGCCACTTTAAACTTTGCGCTCTACATTTAAGACTAAATAGCGTGCGCACTCGCTAGCTAGCTCGCCAAAAATACCCAGTAATACAAAGGCTAGTGAGGGTACGTGCTACTTTTCAAATCTTTGGTGGTACGCCACTGTAGGGTACCTCTTTTCCTTAGACTAAATTAGCTTGCCCATCTTGGCTTGTCCTCTTTAGTCTCGTTTCCCACTTCCTCTGCTACAGCCTTGCGGCTCTACATTTAAGATTCAACTCCTGCAACCTTGATTTTGCATTATCTTTTAACTCTATATATTCTTTGAACTGTGTAATTGGTATTACCTTTTAACTCTATATATCCTACCTGTGTACTTGGTATTTTGCCTATTTTCACTGCGGATATCTATTTATTTACCCTTTCTAGGCTCTCGCATTGGAACCTGGTTGCATATCCAAGAGCTGAAGCTAACTAAACCCTATTCCTTGTATTCCTTTTTTTCCAAATCTTTTCTTTTTCTTTCATGCATCATTATGCTTTTATAATCACATCACAGTACCTGAACCCAAAATCCGTAGCCAACTTATCTATTAAGTATTACTTACATAACACTGTATGGTAGTTTATCCTATTCCTTTTGATTTCCACCCCCTCTGTGTCTGGCGGAGTAGAATACTCGTATCTATACCCAAGTAAAAATTCTAAAATCTTACTCACATAGTCTCTGGTGGACGATATTTGCTTGGGCTTCTTCCTCTGGAGAAGTTGCATGCTAGTCATCACATTGTACAATGATATGTTACCAGGCCTCATAAACGTCCCACCATAGTTGTACAACTTGATCATTTTAATGTTGTTGTTGTTGAGCTTTCCAATTTTTAAAATTGCCAACTCCTCAGTGTCGATGGTCTCGTATACCTTTTCGTAGTTCTCTAGTCTAAGCTGGAAGTCCTGGTACGCCTCAATCTGCTTTGGGTTCAAAAGGTCTACGCCTACCTGCATTCCACCTTGAATGCTCGTAGAATCATAACTTGTATCACCCTTCAAATCGTTGTAATCCGGCGACAACATCAATTTCGATATTATGTTGGAGTGAATAATGTGCTCGTCATCGACAATATTCTCAAGAAACAATATCTCTGTGTCCTTGAACAGCTCGGACTTCAGGTCAAACGAATTGATAGAATTCAACAACGTGACTCTTCGTATTATAGTAGAGTTTGTAGCATCGAAAATTCCCACTTTATCGTTGTTATCCAAATATAGCCAGTCCAATAGCTCATGTAATGTATCAAGGGCAAATTTCTCACGAAGCCTGACATTCTCCATGTTGGACGAGCTGAAGAACGAAGCGTCGTGGGCCCCATCTTCAGCTCTTCTGGTGTTTCCCACGTTGAAGATCTCTGTGTCGAGACTATGGTCCCTGAGGTATTTGGTAAGCTGTTTGGATAAATACGACTTCCCTCTGGCTGGCAACCCCACCATTATTATGATGAGCTTGAGCGGATGAAGCGTTTGGGTGTGCGATGGGGTATACGGAGTGTATTTTGCGAGAGGTTCAACTGTCATTTTGGCACGCAAACGAATTTTTACACTTCAGTAGTTCTTCCAGTAAGCCAACAGTATCAAATATATATTCCACTTGACGTTTAGAAACTTTTCTCCACCGTTATAGTATCAATGATGTCAGTAGAAGGTTGAAAATTAGTTTCTTTTTTCTTATGCGCCCCGAAAAATTCTTTACTTCTTTCGGAGTTGGTAAACACGGTTATGATGGATAGTAATGATATTAGTGATGATAATAGTATGAATATAAATGGGCTTGGTACGAGGAAATTAAGAAGAAGAAGAGCAGCAGTAGTAGAAGTAGCGGCTCACTTACATTCTCCTTATCTTCAGTTGTTCCAAATTCAATTATTAGAGAGCATTACCATATGAACGTGATAGTCCGAAGGTCCGACGTTCCATACAGATGAGTCAAGGCCGGACTAAAGGCAAAACATGGAGAAAAATAATTTTTCAGTATTGCGTAGCGAGTGCCTAATCAGGTAAACAGGTTTAGTCCAATCAGTTAGGTAAGTAGGTCTGCTGTGCTAGTAATTCAATTTCCATAGTATTCACTAGCAAGTAAAAGAAAGTAACTTACAGCTACGTTGGTGTTTCAATTCCCGCACCAAGTGTTAGCGAAAGTAAGAGGGTAGGCTACGTCGGTTGTGCTAGTGCTTCAAATCATAGCATTACTAGCATTTTCACACTCAGCTAAATCAGACAATGTATAAAATTGTATATATCTAAATGAACTCTCAATCTAATCTATAAATGTATATAATTTCTCTATCGTAAATCATGGCGCAAGCGAATTTCCCACCGAAAAGTGCGTTACTTCTAGTGGTCAGAACTGACAAAAACAGTTGGAATCGAACTAGCACTTTCCGTTGGTTGTAATTCATTTCTTTGTAATTCATTTCTTTCTGGCTTTGGGAGTTGAAAGTTGTTCAACAAGGTGTTGATGTTTGACTGTGGTGGCATAATTGAATTTAATGAACTCGAAGACGATGCTCTATGCAATTCTGGAATATGTTGTTGTTCTTCTTCATTAGCCTTGATCCTCTCGTTAAGTAAGTCTTGCTGTTGCCTTAAATATTGTTGTTGAATTTGAAGGTAATTCTCGTGGGCTGCAATGACTCCACTTGCTTGGTTATCTGCCACGGGAACACCTGCAGCTCCAGAGCTGCTTCCACTACTTCCATTAGGCGACATAGCACCGCCAAGAATATATGAAGTATTGATAGTTGGACTTTGTAAAGGTGAATTTGCAGGTGAGTAGTGCGACTTCTGTGAGTTATTTAAACTAGCTACACCATCTGGAGTGGTAGGTACAGTTGCACTATGACTACCATCTTCAAAGAAGGTAGTTTCAAATGGGTTCTTTTCCTCAATCTTACGCCCATGAGAATCTAACGGCTGTGGCGTAACAATACACGGAGTGTACATCGCATTCAATGCGGTATTATTGTTGAGACCTCCCAAGTTTAGAGTCATTTTAGCTGGTGGCGTAACAACTGGAGATACATTGACGGATCCAACTCCAGAATTTGTGCCACTTCTTGTTCCTGACTTAGTTGTTGTTCTGGATTGTTTTACCTTCAATATCTTCGACTCAACAAATTCAAAACGTTCTAAGTGTCTAGGGCCAAATTTCAATACTTCCAGTAAATCAGTCCACCAATTGTTAAATTCTTGTTCACATGAACATTTGAAGATAAACTTTTTAGACTTATTGGAGATCAGCTGCAATATAAATTTATCATCATTTTTGATCTTCAAAATATAATCATTCAAATTATATGATTTCTCAGGAACATCGAATGGTCCAATAAGTCCACCAATTTTATTCTTTGCTTCATGTTTCTTCTTTTCACTCTTGCCATCCTTCTTAGTTCCATCGCCACCAGACGAATCTGGAACCTTATACTCATGCAAATAGTTGCAGGTCAAAATATAGTAAAATGCGTTATAATTTTTCAAGATCTTCAGCTTTTTGTAGATCATTCCATTTCTTATGCATTTGTTGTGAACAGAATTGGAATATGGGATTACCAAGCTATTAAAGGATCTAGCATGTCTATATGGATTGGAAGCACCAGGTATATTAGGTTGGGTATTGATGAAATTAGCGTTGTGAGCAATAAAGTAATTCCATTCATCTTCAGGTTTTGAACCTGATGTCACCTTCACTAGCTGATTGTACAATGCACTGACAGATTGGTCATTGTAGCAAGACTCCTGATCGATTAATTTCCCAAACTTATTAGTTATAATCTTCAAATCCTTCAATATATAGTTCGAAAGATCCCTGGCAATGTTTTGTAAATTCAAATAAGCGGCAAATCCATAATTTTCTTGCACTAGTTGAGTCTTCAATTGATAATCGACTCGCAACTTCAAGAGGAAGGGGTCATCCAAGACACCCATTTCCTCTTCATCATCGTTACCATCTTCAGTGACGATCCTCTTTAAAACCGGTTTATCAGCTCTGCTATACCTTTCCACCGACGTCATGTAATTATTTAAGATTCTACCTGTGTCACTTATCTCCTTAACCAAGTTTTGATTGGCAAAGCTATCATTTCTAAGTGAGGATTTAATTTCTTTGATTTTAATTGTCAAGTTCTTTAGCAAACTCTCTAATCTACCGACCAATTTGGAGTTTATTTCTTTGAATGTCTTCAATTCTCCTTGGTACGCATGGAAATGGTCATCGACAAGAAGGTTAGGGAGGTTTGGGAAAAGTGAAGTTTCAGGGTTGAAGAAGTTTTTGGGCACTTGGATATCGTTGTCATAAAGCTTTCCCCTAGGTTGTTGTACTTCATCGGTAGCGTGAGAGTGTGCAGAGGGATTTCCCGAAGAGCCATTGGCGTTGTACAGCTGTTTGTCCTTTCTTTCACCACTAAACGAAGTCAAAGAACCAAGTGATAAGTTCTTGTGGTGTCCGTTATTGTTAGCGGTGCTTGAGTTCGTGGATACAGGAGTAATTGCTCCACCATCCTTCTGGGGGGATGTTCCGGAACTCCAAGTTGTGCTGTGGGTCAGCTGAAGGTGGCTCTTGGGCTTCAAGAAAGATTGGTTTGATTTGGTCTTGAAGAGGTGTGGTCTAGATTGATTGGGAGTCAAGTCTGAGGACGAGTGGTTACCTTGTCCCATCGACACTAGCGAGTTCCCGGACAATGTCTTTTTAACTTCTTTCGGAGGTGTCGATATGGATGAGGATACTTCGGTCATATACTTCAAGGGTAAGTTCATGGCTCCTGGGAACAACACCGAGTTGATAAGCTGAAGGTTGATCTTGGAGGTGAACTCCTTGACAAGCGCGACTTCCTTCAAATAGTAAATCAACGATTTAATAAACTTTTTCCAGCATTTGAAGTAAAATATAAGACTGTCTATCGGTTTAGATCCAGGTGATGGCAAATTAGAATAGTATGGAGAGTCCTGGTTCGAAGATGGAAGTGCTTCTTCTTTAACAAAGTTGTACATTTTCCCTTCTGTATTATGATCTACAACGTAACACTTTTATTATTCGGTATTTTTCCCAAAAAAAATGGAATTTCAATCTCTATATACTCGACTAATGATAACTTCGGAACAATATTTCGAGGCGGAGATTTGTATATAGGTGCTGCGTAGGGTCTAATTGATTATGCTAGCTTTGCGTGTGGTGTAGAGTGTTTTTCTCCCTTTTTTTTTTTTTTTTTTCTTCTTTTCTTTTCTTTTTCGTAAGGTGATCTAGAGCAACGGATCCTTGCGCCTGTACCGCCTTGTCCGACCTTAGGAAGGGAAGTTGGCTTGGAAGCAGAGCAAAAGTAGTGAAACAAGGACTCGAAATCAGGAAGACAATTAGATAGAAATGAATTTCTAAATGAAACGGGCAGTTCAGCAATTTCCAATCAAAGTTCTAAATTATAGTTCGGTGCTTAATTTTAATTATGAACTGGATCAACTTAGTCCTACAAACTTTAAATTATGATAAAGAATTGATCAAGAAAAATTTGGAACTTTTAGGTGAAAAAAAAAAAAAAAATGCCAGGCACAATGTCATAACCATAGTCAAAGGGGGATAAAAACTAAAAATAAACACAGATCCTTACAAGCCAAACGTCGTCGCGAAGCAGTGGACTACTAGAGCCCAGCTTGTAACATTACATAATTGGAAGTCATCTATTTACGAAATATCATGTAGGTGCGGGAGCAGGTGAATTGTTGGAGCCATTTGAAGATGTGGGGTTGCAGGCAATGCCAATTGATTTAAGGCAACCGATTCTACAGGACGGGATGGGACAATGTAACAATGCAGCCGATGGGACCCATTACCTCTGATTCTGACCAAAATGATAAAACCTTAATTGAGCAACTCTTTAGCCAGTGGAGCGTTTTTTTGTTGATGAGTAGTGAGAATTTCTGAAACGCGCACATGACGTAATGGGTAGAGTAAAGCAAAAGTTAGATATGCTAATCAGGCCAACCCGGCTCGATAACAACGTGAAACACTTGGTCATTCTTGTCAAAAGTTTCACAGTTTCAAAGATTTCGCTCATTCAACTCAATGTTTACAAGAACGTGTAACCGAAAATCCCTTTTATGGAATATTGAACACTAGAACTGAAATAGTAATGAATATATGCTAATAGTTATTCTTTTGCTACGCTGATCGAATGCAGTAGGAGTAAAAAAATTCCTTGGAACACAAAATTCCCATGGTCGTTCACCACCGGTATCATTGAATTGAGTTTCAACTGGTCCATGGTGTTTCTCAAAAGTCGATTCCGCAAGGTAGAAACCTGCAATCTGTACATATTCTCTGTTTCCAAGACCTCCAAAGCTGATGCGTATTCTTCAAGGCTATTTTGTGTAGACTTATTCTGTTCATTATCAAGCGTTATCTTATGCGACTTATTAGTATTCTCTACTTCTAAGAGTTCTAACGCATATACGAACTCGTCAAGATTGCTGGAAGATATTGTACTCTGGTCGTGCTTACTAAACAGTCTAAACATATCGCTACCACACAAATCATCATCGAAAATAAATTGATCTCGAATATCTTTATTTAGCAACTGCATACCGACTTGACACCCACATGTACTACAATCGATGCCGCCTACATTAACGCACCCAAAAATATTATTTTGTACACATCCATAAGAATCGTTTAACTTGATGTTTGCCACGTTGTCCACCAAGTAAGTGGCTTCACCGTTGCAAACGAATACTTCTGTCACGTCAAAGTCCAGAATCTGAGTGTTGCATGATTCACAAGCGTATTTCATTTTTTTGTTCAGCAATACTGGTAGATTACTCAGTACTAATGGCTCGAGGTATGGGGAACGCACTCCCATAAAGAATGAATATAGATATATACAGTATAGGCTATCCTGTGAGTTGCCTTCTCTCTCTAGCCCAAAAATTGTACCCCAGAGCTATTCGAACTAAGCTACAAAAAGCTGTAAGCTAAATTTCAAAGATACTTCTCCTTTATAAGCAATTACTTGCAAAATGACATTAGAGCTTTTTAACTCCACGGAATTACGAGAAGCTATGATCTCAAATTTACACATCGACCAAATAGGAGCGGGTGGTATGCATTCTTAAAAATAAAGTAAAATAAAATGAAAATACCTCGCAATAATAATAGAACGATTGTTCGTATTACAATAAAAAGTAAAATAGCTTTGAGGAGACGACAGGGAAGTACTTAAAATAGCAAAAACCATATTTAGCGTACTCGTTTACGCCCCATCGAGGAGCCAACACATCCCCCAGCTGTAATCTAGCCATGAAGCCATGAAGCCATGAAGCCATTCTCCGATTATCTACTGTTTGATGTGTTAGGCAAGATCCTTTCATGTATGGTTTCCTTTATTTTTTAATTTTTTTTTTTTTTTCCGTCTTTTCTTCCTCACCGTATGTGAGCCAAACCCGCTCTTTTCGTAAACTCTTATCAGGTGGAGATGCTCGTAAATAAGACCGAAAACTGAGAAAGCTTACTTTCCAGTGAGATGAGCTTATTCAAGACTTTACAGAATGGTTAAGTCCGCCAATGCTTCTTTCTTAGGCAAATGGACAAAGCTAAATTACGTAGCCAAAGCTTGTTTTACAATGAAAAATGATGGGGCACGTCATAGATATCCATCAAAAATCTTGGTGGAGAGCAATTTACCTGAAGTGGAGTTTTGACTTCACCTGGTTTAAAAAAACACCAACTCGCTTTTGGTATGGCACCAAACTTACGAACTATTTGGTTTACGAAGTATTTCTGTCGATACCATAATGGGAAGGCAATGGAGATATCATCATACGATTTATTAATTTTATCTCTTTTTGCTTCCTTAGCATTTCATTGTAGTGTATTTTTATTCGCTACTTGAAATTTATTCTATTCGTTCTGCTCTTGTCTTCTTTGTTTCATTTAGCAGTGCATGTACCCCTTACCTTTGAGATGTGTCTCTCGTACTTCAATTGTAATCTGCAGTCCGATCCAGAAGAAATGAAGAAAAAAGAAATAAAAAAGAAAAGACTTCCATGTCACAAAATCATCAGTATTGGCTAATGTCACGTGTCGTGACATCTCTACACTTACTGTGGGTGCTGTAGGCGGATGAAAAATCTCTGATTTGGATTATTAATACCTTTCTTTCTAATCTTGATAGGTTGATTTGTCATTAATTGGTATAAATAATCCGTCAAGAATCGCATTCATACATTCGTTCGAGAATTTCCTTCCGCAAAGTTAGCGTAGATCATCACTTTGGAGCCATTTTCTCACACCGACTGTCTGCTTAGTTTAAATCCACAGCAGCAACTTTAGAAAGAAAAAAAAAAAAGATTAATAAGGTCACCTCGTTCTAAATCGTGCACTTAAATATATTCTTACAATGACTCTTAGTGAAGGTATAAAGATCTCTCAAGAACATCTTGATCACCTCAACTCTACCCTTAAGGACCTTACAGCAGAAGAAATCTTGAAATGGGCTTATATAACGTTTCCACACTTGTACCAAACTACTGCCTTTGGATTGACTGGGCTAGTCACTATTGATATGATCTCAAAATTGAAAATAAATAGCCAAGAAGATGGTGGTGAAGAAATTCTGCACCCTATTGATCTTATTTTCCTTGACACATTGTATCATTTCCCTCAAACCTATGAATTGGTGGATGCTGTGAGGGCCAAGTATAACCCAAAATTGCACGTATACAAGCCAGCTGACGCTAAGGACGATATTGAATTCGCCAAGAGATACGGTGATCAGCTTTGGGAAACAAATGATTCATACTATGACTATTTAGTGAAAGTAGAACCCTCCCAAAGGGCTTACAAAGAGTTGGGAGTCAAGGCGGTATTGACTGGCCGTCGTAGATCGCAAGGTGGTGCTCGTGGCTCGTTACCAGTGTTGGAAATTGAAGAAACTAGCGGAACCATTAAAATCAACCCTTTGTGCAACTGGGACTTTAAGATGGTGAAGAGCTACATAGATGCCAACAACGTGCCGTACAACAGTTTGTTGGACTTGGGGTACAAGTCTATTGGTGACTGGCACTCTACTGTTCCTGTAGCCGAAGGTGAAGACGAAAGAAGTGGAAGATGGAAGGGCCAAGCAAAGACTGAGTGTGGTATTCACGAGACCAGTAAGTTTGCCCAATATCTCAAATCTCAGAGCACCTAGATTAGATAGATATAGAGATTCATATAAACATTAAAACCCATTGCATAGAATAGAGTCTCCTCAAACCAAGGCAAGACAGCAATAATAAACTATAAATAACAAGTAAAAACCAAATACCATGTAGACATGTCCATTCAACACATCTCCTCACCAGTGTTCCTCATCGCTCTTGGGCTCGTGCATGAATTTGCACCCAAATTGAACGGGTTGCAAATCCTGCACATAGTCCTCATCTCTAACGCATAGACAGGCATTGTAGAAAAAAAAGTACAGACATAACCGATGGTTCCTTGCAAGTAGCAGCGGAATTTGAGTATAAAATGGGTAAGAAGAAGTCCAATTCTGCTAATGCGGTAAGAGCTCTTGAGTCCACGATCTCTCCTATAGTAGAAATTAATTACAAAGACCCACTATTTGCCGTAGCAGCTCATCCCACCAAACCTATTTTGCTTCAAGGACTTGCAACTGGGCATGTATTTTGTACTAGCTACGATGATGTGAAACTCGAAGAGGCACAGGTGCATAAAAGAGAGGAAAACGAACTTCTTGAGAAGGAAGCATTTGCAAAAGGAAAGATCTCAGCAATAAATAAGTCGGTCTCACAAACTAAGAAGAAGTGGTGGACTGTCGTTCCTGATAACTCTGAAATGGATAGCCCACTCATAAGCAACATGTGGAAAACCAAGAGGCATAAAGGATCTTGTAGATCAGTTTTATTTGATCCATTGGAAAACTCGGTGGGAGAAAACATCTTCACTGTAGGAACTGACCACATAATTAAGAAGGCAGCCACCGAAACTGGGAAAGTCTTGAGCAAAACTGTCGTTGACTTTGGTGGGAAAGCAGCTGATGCTATCACCAAACTTTGCCATTCAACCAGTCATCCATTTTTGCTTGCAGGGACAGAAAACGGTAACGTTTTGGTATACGATAGTAGCAACTTATCCAATAAATTGAAGTTTAGAGTGGATAAGGTGCACGATGATGCCGTTAACCACATCTTACCGATGCCCGAAGTTTCAGCTTACCATTATCTAAGTTTAGGTTCAACAACCTTGTCGCACATTGATATTCGTAAGGGAATAATAACACAATCGGATGACCAAGAAGATGAGTTACTTTCAATGTGTTACGCTACAGACCAACTGACACAGGCCAAAAATGATACCGTATTGGTATCTCATGGTGAAGGAATCGTTACAATTTGGAAGAATTCCAAGAATAGACTTATGGACCAGTTGTCGAGAATTAAGGTGAATCATAGTGCTTCAATTGATGCTATTATACCCACGATGAATCAAGACGACGACGAAATGGCCGCTTCTGTATGGTGTGGTGATAGTGAAGGTTTATTACACAGAGTGAACTACAAGAAGGGCAAAGTTGTGGAAACTAGAGTACACTCTACGACCACCAAAAATTATGGAGCTGCAGATGAAGTTGGGGTATTGGATATCGATTTTGACTACAGATTGATAAGTGCAGGCATGGACAGTTTAAAGATTTGGTCCAATGAAGATAGAAGTGCTGACGGTGAGGACAATGAGGATGATTGGGAGGACGAAAACGGTAGCGACAGCGATAGTGATCGTGAAGGTGCTGGGATTGAAGACGATTCAAGTGATTTGGATAGTGATTTGGGCCCATCAGACTTTTCAAGTGATAGCGATGAGAATGAAGGTGAAGAAGTGGACGATAATAGCGAAGGTGAAGGGGCAGGTGATAGTGATGGAGCTGATATTGATGTAGATGATGTTTCAGATGAAGAGAGACAGGAGGAGGAAAAGGAAGAAAAAGAAGTTAAAATGCCTCAACTAGTACGTAAGAAGCGTCTTAACTTTTCCTTAGAATCGTCAAGGCCCAAACCCAAGAAGAAGATCATCGACTTCAACAAAACAATTCCAAACAAAGAAGAAAAAGAAGAGGAAAGCAAAGATGAGCCTGCAGCCAAGAAGCTCAAGACGAAACAGATGACCACCAAGCAAATTAGAAATCTACAAAAACACGAGCATGGAATCAGAAAATTTGACGATTTATGATCAGATCTGTATGGTCAATCGTATATATCGTACATAGAAGAGAAATGAGAAGCACAGTATACAGAAAAAGCCCTTTTCTTTTTTTCTTCTTCTCTAAATTACTAAATAACCTGCTACCATTCAGATAAGAAGCAGCGTTGCTTCCATAATACGTACATTCCTCATCAATCCAGTATAGTAACACATCTCTTCGCCTAGACATATCCGGAACCAGAGTGATTCTAAACATCCTGCATACAGACCTGAGATTGGGTTTCTCTTTTTGTCATTTATCTCAAGATAACAAGACACCTAGTGGAAGCAAAGGACTCGACCTAGATCGATTACAGAGTATATTTGAGGGCAGATTTTTGGCAAGGTAACTTCGTTTTTCATAGGAGAGTATGGAAAGTTCAACAGTCTCGACTGTGGAAGACGTTACACTTGCACGTAGAGGGTTTTACGTCACGGGCACTTTAATCCTAGCTCCTCATCATCTTGTCTTCAGTTTTATCCCAACCACAGCAAATAAACCTATAGATAAAACGAAAGCGCCCATTCCCAGAGAAATATGGATATGTTATCCTATTATTGAAAGGATATCAAAGGCACGAGGCTCCTCGTGGATTAATGCTAATAATGGTAACCAAGATGCCACCCCACCCCCTTTTCTTCGCAATACAACTCCACCAAAGGAGAGTAACGACGGTGCTAGCGCTGGCAACTCTCATATGCTGAGCCTGACAGGAAATTTACAGAGTAATGCTGAAGGTACATCCGAAGAGAAAAAAGTTGATATGGCTGAACTGCAGCCGGCATTGACACCTATGAAACAACAGAGTACTGGGCTTCATCAGAAGCACAATGGTCGTAGTCATCACCACCATTCTAACGGTTCAGGCTTTACATCAAGCTTTGGATCGTCGAAAATGGACCATTACTCTGCATCTCACATTCGGATTCAATGTAAGGACTTTACCTACTACTCATTTGACTTCGCAAACGATGGAACCTGTACTGATGTGTTCCAGAAACTCAGTACCCTCATTACGTTGCCCAAGGCAAAGTCGGATATTCTGAAGTTTTATGCCTTCTCGTATAACCCCAATAAGCTAGAGGGCGGTCTCACTCCAAAGGGTTGGGATTTGTATAGCCCTGAAAAGGAGTATTCTAGATTGGGACTAACTGCAGCATCTGATAACAAGAACACGGGCGTGAACGACACTGAAGCGAACGAAAATAATGAACCAGAAGGGTTTTGGAGAATTTCCAGTATCAACAATAATTACTCTTTCTGTTCATCATATCCAAGGATGTTTGTAGTCCCTTCGACAATATCTGACAACGTTTTGAAGCATGCAGGGAAATTTAGATCCAAGCAAAGAATACCAGTGGTAGTATATAGACACAAGTCAAGCATAAATGGTAACGTCATTGCAAGGTGTGCCCAGCCATTGGTTGGGCTAAAGCTTCAAAATAGATCCTTGCAAGATGAGAAACTCATAGGTGAAATCTTCCAAAGCCAGGAGCGTGAAAAGGTTCACAGGGTTAAGTTATTGGAAGAGGGTGGAGAAGATGAAGGTGTATCTGAAACTGGATACAATGAGCAACCGCAGAGAAATCTAATTATTGATTTGCGTCCAATAGCAAATGCTATGGCTCAACATGCATTAGGGGCAGGGACTGAAAGCATTGATAATTATAGAGGAAGGGCCGTCGGCGGCGGCAATGAAAGTCCTGATCTGAATTCTAGAATAGTTGATAAAATTTTCTGTAATATTGATAACATTCATGTTATGCGAGATTCATTAAACAAATTGACCACTATCCTTAACGATTTAGATAAATATCCACTTCAGAATCAAGATGGATCTAGTAATCAAGGATTTCCCTTGTTACAGCAATCTTTAACCAAAACACAGTGGCTACACAGACTCTCTATTATCTTACAATCAGTTGACAGGATTACGAAGTCAATACATTTAAACAACACTAACGTAGTTATCCATTGTTCAGATGGTTGGGATAGAACTTCACAAGTGTCTGCTCTTCTGCAGTTGTGTCTTGATCCATACTATAGAACTATTGAAGGATTCATGACCTTAGTTGAGAAAGAATGGGTCAGTTTTGGATTTAAATTCGCTATGAGAAGCGACCACGGGGGTTGTATCGGGGCTAAATACTCCAACAGTAATTCGAACCAAAGCAAGAAACGGCAAAATGATGTTGATACTCAGGATTCTGAAGCACCACAGTCCCAATCTCAAGTATTGCAACAGCTGCAAGCAGTCACATCTCAATTATCTAGTAATGGTGCCAAAGTTGCTTCATTTTTACAGAGAGCAGCCACTCATATCAAGAACACTGCTGTCTCAGCATCAAACCAAGCATCCGAAATTGACATTGAAGATGGGAAACTTTCATTTTCTGGCTCATCTTACAACGGTAGTAGCGAGAAGTCTCCCATTTTCCATCAGTTTTTGGACTGTGTTTATCAATTATACCGTCAACACCCTTCCAAGTTTGAGTTCAACAGTAGATTTTTGAAGAGATTATTCTATCATCACTACTCTTGTCAATATGGAACATTCTTATGTAATTCCGAAAGAGAATTGGAAGAAATTCATAAATTGCAGAACTCCACTATTAGTGTTTGGGACTACTTTAACTCTAGAACTGCTGAGTTCACAAATCCTACATACGTCAAAAACGATAATGAAGAAGATGATGGTGTTTTATTTTTCAATTTTACTGATATTAAATGGTGGTTCGAGCTATACGGAAGATCTGATGAAGAGATGAATGGTCTTTCAAATAGTTTAGATAGAAAGTTTGCCAGCATGAAACTAAATAGATAGCATATTATAGAAAACTAATTTAATGAGCTACGATTCACAAAATGAAGATAACCTGATATTCATGTAGTAATGTTGGGTTGAGTCCATCGAAGACTGGAGTATTCTATTCCGTATACGGTGACGCAACATGCAGGATAGATCAAAAAGATAAAGCAAGGTTATTTTTCAGATCAGCTAGGTCACAGAAAGAACAAGAACAGTAAGAAGCAGAACTGATCTAAGTTACTATATATTGCTGGTGTTCGAGCTAAAATAGAATATGCTCGTGGGTGAAATGATTACAAAACGAAGAGTACCCACATTTTCAAAGATCTTGCAACATACAGCATTTTATAGCTCTCCTGCTTATGGTGGTGGACCCAATGGAGTAGATGGGAGACTTCCAGGAGGATTTACCAGTCAAGAAAATGGTACACCAGGTACTTCTACTTCTATAACCATTACGGATCCGTTCATTTTGTACCAAAATTATGTAGCTCAAGGAATGTTAAAAAAGGACGAATCGCAACTAAGGGTAATGAAGGAATTTCAAAAGCTATACTATAGACTCAAAGACTACAAACCTCCAGATGAATTGAAAATTAAAATAAATTTACTTATTAGAAAGATGGAAATAAAGCGTGCAGAAGAGATTGCCAAAGGAAGAGGATTTCAAGACGGAAGCACCAGCAGCGGTACTTTTTTCAAGTTGAGAAACTTCCAGAATATGTTAAGAGCAGACCCAGAGGCGCAGAAGAAAGAGTTGATAAGGGTAATTACAGATGAAGAAGAGCTATATTCTATGGCATCTCCGCAGGGATTATTGCTAAATGGGGAAGTAGGGTGTGGAAAATCGATGTTAATGGACATATTTGCATCGTCATTACCACTTGAATCTAAGATGAGATGGCACTATAATAACTTTATTCTCTGGGTATTTAACGAGATGCATAATATTCAAAAAGAAAGACTATTCACCTCTGCAATGATGAGTAAAGAGTTGGCTGAACAACTGTTACTCAGCCAAAGACTCTCTATGGAGAACGAGTTCGTTTTATTTGAAATTGCTCAAAAATTAATTGGTAAGAGTACAATCCTAATGCTAGATGAGTTCATGCTTCCAGACATTGCTGCTGCAAGTATTGTGAAGATCTTGTTCACCTATTACTTTAAATTAGGAGGTGTGCTAGTTGCGACTTCAAATAAACTACCGGAAGATCTTTACTCGAACGAGTTCCATAAGAAGAATTTCCATAGTTTCGTAAGCATATTGCATAACAGGTGCCAAACTGTTGACATGAGATCTGAAAAGGACTATAGGATACTAAATTGTGAACCTAACGAAGTTGAAAGGAACTTGGTAATAAAATCGGACAATCTCGACAATCATAGTGAAATCTGGAAAGAACTTATTGAAGGATTGGTGGGTGTTCCCATTGCCGATGGTACTCCGAGCCATATTCAGGTTTATAATAGGACCACATATATTCCTTTGACATACAAGAACAATACTATTTGTTACTTAGATTTTCTGCATATTTGTGAAGGTTTATTCTCAGCTTCAGACTATATTACCCTTGCCTCTACATATGGGACTATCATAATAGATAATGTCCCTATAATGACGCTAAAGATGAAAAACGAGGCAAGAAGGTTTATCACATTGTTGGACGCAATTTATGAAGCGAAGTGCCAATTTTATATGAGAAGTGAAGTTGAAATACTGAGGTTATTCTTCCCGGATGAGAACAGTGAAGGTTCAGATGTGAATAACATCCAAGTTCAGAATGAAGAAATGTTTGCTAAAACAGTGATGGATTTAGAGAGTCCGTATAGACCCAACGTTTCCTATTACACGGGAGGTAATACGGAATTCGTAGAGGGTAAGCGGAAACAGGTCAATTCGGCTACAAACTACCAAAACACCAGTGCTTTCACTGGAGAGGATGAGAAGTTTGCCTACAAGAGAGCTGTGCTGAGAATCCAAGAAATGGTTGGTTCCAAACAATGGAGCGGTAACCAATGGGTACCCATAGATGAGAGTATGAGGCCCTGGGAATGCGTAGAGACAACGAATTTTGAGCCTATTGCAGTTAATAGAGTGCAGTTGGATAATAAGGACCCACCAACAAAAATAGATCTGCAACATATCTGGTCCATGGGCCACTGGACCAAGCTAAACGGTAGAAGGATAAAAGATGAGATTACTAGAAAATGGATAAGAAGCGGAATGAGGGACTAAAAAAGTAAAGTAGAAATATCTCGCATTGAATGATACATAATGAACATCATAAAATGCTATTTAGACTGCATTAGGGTGTATAATTATAGAAATAGCCATGTCATTACCCTGGCCTTTGATCACACCCCGGTAGCATCACCACTACCGAGGTAACCCCATTTTTCGTTCTGCACACGCCGACCCCAGATTTTCGATTTCTTAGGCACTTTCATTTTTTTTTCTTTTCCTTTTCTTCCTTCTAACGATACGCTAGTGCTATTTAGAATAGAATTAGTATCAGTTATAAGCTATATTTAATCATATATAATCAGCTATTATGCCAGTACTTAACGCAGAAAGACTTGTACGATTAGCTTACAAATATCCCCAGCTCCATAACTCGTGGTACTTGGTTGCATGTGCGTGCCTTTCCGTGGTTAATCAACCCCAAGAAATCCCTAAGATATTCCATTTCGCTTTACGCCAGCAATTGTTAGAAAGTTGTGCTGCAAAGGACAAAATTTTACTCACAGATCAATATTTGTTACAATTAGCTCAAGACTCGGTATCGCTGGCTGAAAAATATGCCGACTTGACTGCTGTTGGGGTGAACCTACCTGATATCTTGATCCCTCATACGTACTATGACAAGTTGCCGCTTGGTTTTAAATTTTCCAGAGCTGAAGATATTCATGAAACTCAGTTGCTGATTGCTGGGAAGATCAGAGAAGTCATTTTAAAAAGTGTTGCTTTGGCAGGCTTACCAAAAGCAATTAATGCTTTGATGATCTTGAAGAATGTAACCCCAACTTCGTTACTCCCGCTTAATACTCCAGTTAGACCTGCTATAGTTAACCCTGGCTTGATGTCATCGAATGACTTGCTTGGTGAGGACGTTGAGGGAACCAGATTTGAAGATGTCACCGAGTCCCTCCCCACCACGGATACTATTGACGGGCCCATCGCTCCCAGCTCCATAAATGCCAAGCAAATCCAAACCGATTTGACCAGAGGTTCCGATTTCTGGAACACGATCTATTCAACTAAAGTGAACATGAGAATTCGAAAGCAGATGATCAACGCATACCCAGACCTCTGGTACTTTGCCTATCATCATGCTTACTCTCCGTTATTGAGTTTCACAGAAGTTTTATCTGCAAGGGAAACCTCCATGTGCATTGTGGCCAGTTTGATTCCACAAGATGTCAATCCACAGTTAAAGGGACATTTGAAAGGTGCTATAAACGTTGGAGTGACTAAGGAGGAATTGGAGCACCTCCGCTTGTTGGTTTTCGATGTATGCGACTGGAGCGGAAACGTCTCATGGAGAGAAGGCCAAGACTCGGTAGCAAAGTTGTGAGAAAGGGAAGAGAAATAGGTAAGATACGAAAAATAGTAGCAAAATCAAAAAAAATCTATAAATTTTACATACATGAAAATAAATGAAGAAATAACTGAAGATATATGAGCTATTCTGAAAATCTTTAATCTACACTTCTACAGGAAAGGGGAATGAAGAATGGAAACAAAAAGACTCAATTATCCTACAGCAGAACTACTTAACTCTTATTTATGTATTTTAATTTTCGCTTATTCTATATGTCTTATATTTGGTTACAATTAAATAGACCATTTTAGCTTATGTTCGTGAATTGAATGTGTTTGATTTTTGGAAATTTCCGTTTTTCATTTTTTTTTTTTTTGATATTTCCATGTTATACGATTTTGGCCGTCCACTCTACAACTGAATTCTATTCTCTCTCTGGATTAACACTATTTGTAACCCACAGAAAACGAAGAATGCTAAGTATACGAAGACTGCACCAAAGACAGTTTTGGCGACAGCCTTACCATCGGCAGGATCTTCAGTGGATCCAACCATTGTTTCATGTTCAACCTGGAAGAGGTATCCAATAAATGATAAGATAACAATTGCGAAAGATGATAAAATAGTACAGAAGTACGCCTTCCCGGTGGACACTACTGCCTTCATATTTTAGTGGATATGCGTTGATGTATTTAGTAAAATGTGAATGTATATAATATATTCTTAATAATATACCCAATTAAATTACTTGGAATGGATACAAAGGAATGCAATTAATCGTCGACTGAAAGACTTATGCTATTGATACAGTTAATTTTTTTTTCCTTTTCCATTCCTTTCAATTTTTGAAGTGTCAAAAGCTCGCTTTTCCTTTTTGTGTAACAAGAGCCCCCATACACACCTTGTGCTTAGCTAGTACATGCCACTAATATGTTCCATGGGTGTTTCAAAGTTGCTGCTGCTGTTACCACCATCAATACTGTCGTTATCATTGTCTTGTAGGGATCCCACATCTAGGTCCAAATTGTCATTTTCCTTTTTGTAGATACTGTTCTCGTTGCTGCCGATAAAATTCCGCCTCCTACCTGATAGCATAATGTTATCACCTGTAGAATCATTTTCTCCACCACTCTGCTTTATAGGTGAAGTGCCAGGTTGGCTAGAAGTTATATCTTCTTCATCTTGATCTGCTTCCAGAACAAGTGGCGATATCGTTATTCCAGGAACATTCAACAAGTCAAGACTCAAATGGTCACCTACACTTTCTCGCCTTCTACTGCTTTCTTCTTCTTCTACATCTATTCCGGCTGGTGTTGTTACACCTTCTTCTTCCTCAACCACCAAGTTGCCTACTACTTCACCTGCCTCGTTTTCTGCTTCTGGTGTGCTACTTTGTTTCACCTCTAGCTTTTTCCTATGTACACTTTGCACTATTTTGTAAGCTTCTCTGAGAAAATGCAATCTCTGAGCCACTCGTTTTAGATCGTCAAACCAGTCCGCTTCCAATACTTCTTGCTCGGTCTTCTGTTCCATGACGAAATTTTGATACATCGACATTGCCGTCAACGAGTCATCAATATTGGGTGTTTCACTCCTTTGAAATTCCACAGGAGGTGACGCACTTCTACTTCTATTTACTGTATTTATGTTGTTACCATTTTTGTGGAGGTTTCTCAATGCCGCAAGTGTTGGCGATGATATTCTCTTAGTAGGAGAAGTACTAACTTCCCTTGATTTCGCCCTACTTCCGAATTTAAACGTAACCATCTTGGAAGGAGTCAAATCTACACTATTTCTACTCGTATTGGTAGATTCTGACTGTCCATCCGTGATTGTCACCAATTTCTTACGGTTTGGGCGCTTGTTCAACTCCACCCATTTCTCTGGGTCATAATGTATAGTTACAAATCTGGACATGGCCGATGTGTGAAGGAAAAAAAAAAAACTGTTTCAGCTTTGCAAGATCTAACTAACTACCACAAGAGTATGAATTACGGCACCAGGTGTTTCAGATATGCTTTGGCTATATAATACAGAGTTTCCAGCTTTCTTCTGTCCTATATTTTGGAACAAAACTTTTGAATAACTGCAAAAAATTAAACAAGTTCTTAGCATGCGAGTTTCTTTCATGTCTCGCTTTATGCAGAATATTTTTCATATTTTTTCACGGGTGGGATTTGACAATGACGTTTGCAAGAGAGAGCAGAAGAGTGCTTGCACATAGCAGAATTGAAGTGAGGTGAAACTACGAAGTGAAAGTATTACAGTTGTATCAGAACAGAAATATGACTACTGCTAACATTTCACCAAGCACGGAAAATGCGCCATTGGTTGCTACTATTGATCAGTTACAGGGGGTTATTGAAAATTTTATAGAGTTGGGTGTTTTAGTACACGACAACCAAGGAACTCAACAATCGCACACTGCACTTATTCATAAAACAAACCAATTGATAGGTCAGTTGGGATCTTTGGAGCTGAACACAGATAACGAGCAATATCCAATTCCTATAGATGTACTAACATATATTGAAGATGGCAGAAACCCTGATATATATACGAGAGAGTTTGTAGAACTGACCGCTAAGAGTAACGCTAAGTTAAAGGGTAGAATGCAGGCATTTGCTCAATTGAGAGACGTTTTGGGGGAAAAATTGGTGCAAGAGCTTCCCAGATTGAAAGACAGTGTAGAGGAAATCAAGGCTAAAACCAGTTAGCTAGGTTAGAGTTAGCGTTGAATGTGGGCTACCGGCCACCGTTGATCTTCTCACGGAGATCAAACTTTGTGCCATGTAATATATGTGTACCATAATACTCACTGACAAGATAGGGTAACCAGTATTCTTTTTTATGTTCTGTAAAAGGTCATGAATAGATGAGGTCTGTCTGGATCTGCCAGCTAAGATTACATCGTGCAAACATACATAGGGGTAGGAAGTGAATGATAAGAAGATAATCAAATCGGACCTCGTTAGATACGTTTAGAAGAACAGACCTGCCGCTAGTAATGCGGAAATACGTAAAATAAGAAAAGAAACAGCCTAGAAATTCAATAACAGTGGGAAGATAGTAGAGATCGGGACAGAACAGCATTTATCGCTTTAAATCCTGAGGAGAATCCTGTTGTGCTTCATCATACGAAAGGTAAAGCAATTGGTAAGAAATCAGATAATACAATAGCCATTTTTTTAGTATTGAATTTAACACTTTGAAAAAAAAAAGGCAAAGTTCGTTGGTTTGCTTATAAAGCTATCATCAGAATTGAATCTATAATACAAATGACCTTCCTTTAACCATTATAATGAACTGTGTAGACCTTCTGCCTTTCCATTTCTGTTCTCCATCAATGACTTGTATCAGTATTTGATCACGTGATAGTGATTGCAGCCATTTCGAAGGATAACCGTAATACTGAAGTTATATCCAATGCCCAGTAATGCAATAAGTCATGCGGTGTAGTGGTATCAGCAGTACATGGTGACTGAGTGAAGTTTCATCATGCGATACTTGACTAACTCCGTGGTTACTTTCGTATATCGGATCTCGTAATTGTGGATAGTTTCCAAAGTAGGAGCTGCACTACACAGCTTCACTAAAAGATAACTGTGGAGCATAGTCAAGCTATGATGCAGTTAGATAGTTCCCTAGCACACACAGCATACCCGACATGACCAATAACTTTTAAAATCACAGCTTACCCGATATGACAGAATTATCTTTGAAGTCACAGCTTTCGTCGGTTGTCAAGAAATAAACAGGCTCAGGGAGAACTTAGAGTTCGACCGAACAATAGCAATGGAAGTATAAGAATATCAACCGGAGAAGGGGGATCCTAGTGCATCCCCCTCATTGTGGATCATTTTGATGCTTGATCTCTTGAAAAATCAGATGTTTAAATCTTACATTAGAGAACTGTACATGTTTAAAATGAAGGGAATGTTTGGAGAAAATTCAAAACAATAGGAGGGAGAAACGCTTCCTAATTATGAGAGATAAGCCGGGAAGAAAAGACAATTGCAACCGCGTAAAATGAAAGTAAATTAACGCATTGAGTGCGGAAGTTAACCCTAAGTTTTAACTCCCCGGTATGGCGTTTAACCTGGCTTCACTTGTATTATTCACTTGGTAACCCATTTTAGAGAGTTAACGTTAATCGTGCATACAGATAATTATGTATGCGGTGAATATTTTTTATTTTTTTTTTTTTTTCTTTAAACCCTAATTGGGATTGCTGCATTAATTCTGCTGGTTAGCGCCAGTTTTGGTGCGCATTTCTATTCTTTAGGTATCAACCAACCATCTTTTCACGTTGAATGATGTAGAGTTCACCACTATGATGATGCATATTATCGTAAAAAGGACGTAAAGAGCCCGTTGGGGACATTTTACGTAGTATTTTGTACGGAAAATGAGCTTCAGTACTGAATTAAGCAGAGACCGTTTGGGCGCTGTATGTACTAAATTGGTCGATTTGTAAAAGTTTGCTGGATATAGATGTACATTCGTAAAATATTCCACCTTTCAACGCATATCAGTTATTGTATATATATATTGGGACAATTGTGTTGTTTCACATTCCAATGGACTTTATTATTATCGTATTTTACATTCTTTAGCTTCATTTTTACTATCGTATATTCATGTGGTTTCCAATTTTACTTCTTTTGGCGCTGTCCAAAATTGTTACAGCAGACGATGGAACTACAACCGTTACTCTGACCGTAACTCCGACTGTCACTGGGACAGTCACAGTGGGATATAATGAAGCTATATATGAAACCGCCTACATTTATACTACAAATGGAGTCCTCACCACGCAAACCATTATTGGAAGTACTGCTTCCATATTGGCTACAGCAACCACCTCAGAAACTGATTCTACAACCGCTTCACAAAGCACAATTGTGGAAATCGTTTCTGGTTCACCTACAGGAAGTGGATCTTCCGCTGCAAGCTCTTTAACCTCCTCGTCAAGTGCCACGTCAGTTGCTTCAGCTGCTTCTTCCTCTTTAAGCTCTACTGCTTCTGGTGCAAGCTCAAGCAATTCGATAAGCTCTAGTTCCGAAGTTGCTTCTGATTCAGCTATTCCTTCCAGCTCAAGTGTCAGCTCCAGCTCCACAGTCTCTTCTGCTTCAAGTGAAAGTAGCTCAATCGGTTCCAGCTCCGTTGCTCCATCTAGTTCAAGTGAGAGCAGTTCAACCGGTACCAGCTCCACGGTCTCTTCTGCTTCAAGTGAAAGTAGTTCAGCCGGTGCCAGCTCTATTGTCCCATCTGCTTCAAGCAGCTCCTCAGTTGATTCCAGCTCTGCTGTGGCTTCTTCTGCCATCTCAAGCGATTCTGTGGTATCTAGCTCAACCTCAGTTTCAACTACTGAAGCAACTGCGAAGACTTCTGGCACAGCTTCTGTCTCTAGTTCTGGCGCCATTGCAGTCTCGACTTCTGCAGAAGCAGCCGTCACCACCAGCTCGCCATCTTCAAGCTTGACAAAGACTCCACATATAGTATCGACTGGATACTCTACTACCACTTCAGTCATTGATGGAACATCATATGTGATTGACTTTGTTGTCCTCTACAACGATAACTGTTAGACTCTGCTAAACTCTTTAATACCCACTCTCTCTTAATAACATGAATTTCAAAATACACGATTAGACTGTAACAAGAACTTGTAGTTGAGATTTGCAGCCATTTCCACAGTACCAAAAATCCCCTTTTCTTAAGAAGATATTTGATACTAACAGCATTGAAGACTTCAAAAGCATATTCACGCACCACTGGACCAATCACATCTTCGTACTATCATACTTACTCGAGCCAATCTAAGAAAAGTGGTCCGTCAAGTGGGCCTTCCATCCATTTCCTGTATGAAAAACTGAGATTTTCTACAACATCACGTGACCCAATTAACTACCAATATAAACTTTGCTCTTCCTTGTGTACGGAGTTCTTCTTCTCCTTCTACTATACCCCACAATCCAAGCATGAGCTTCATTATTTCCTTGGGCATTGGAGCCTTGAGAAACTCAAGGGGAAACCTATTCAAAACTTCCAAAGTGGCATTGCAAGCGTTCAAACCACAGCGCCAAACTATCCGTTCAGTGAAAACTTCAACCGTTGATTGGAAACCCATCAAATCGGGGACCACTGATTTGGCTAAGAAGGAGCACCAGGTTAAACATGCTAAAGTGCGTTATTTTTTTCTTAGTTTGATGATCGCCATGCCCGTAGTGTCGTTTATATTAGGATGCTGGCAGGTACAAAGACTTGACTGGAAGAGTAAGCTCATTGCCAGAACTGAAAACTCGTTGACTTTACCCCCACTTGAGGAACTTCCAGCTGATTTGGATCCCAATGTGATACCCGAGTACGAATATAGAAAAATTAAGATCAGGGGCCATTTTGATTACGAGCAAGAGATGTTCTTGGGCCCCAGGAAGAGACCCGACGGTGAGTTGGGGTACCTTGTGGTGTGTCCCTTTGTTCGTTCAAATGGTGGGAAGCCCATACTTGTTGAAAGAGGATGGATATCCAAGGAGAAGATCGTGCCTTCAACTAGATCCAGTGGATACCTTCTGCACTTGGCCCTCCCCAAGGGCGAGATCGAGATAGTAGCAATGTTTAGAGTAATGCCACCCAGGTCATACCTTCAATACTCGCACGACGAAGGTTCAAGGTTGTTCTTCATTCCAGATGTGGCTGCTATGGCTGCGCAGAGTGGTGCCTTGCCAATTTACTGTCAAGCAGTGTACGATATGAGCGATCATCCGGAGTATAGAAGAAACAATGAGAAATTGAATGCGTCAGAGAAGGGTGGACAGGGCGGAAGCGGGTGGTTCTTCTCCAAGGGTAAATCAACCAGCACGCCCGCTGAAAACATGTCTAGCTTGCACGACGATACAGACTCGACGTTGGAGTATCTTCAATCTGAATTTGTTAATGAAGGTGTGCCAATTGGTACCGTTCCAAAGGTTGGGTTCAAGAATAACCACTTGCAGTACTTGGTAACGTGGTTTGCACTCTCGTTCTTCAGTGCTGGGTTATTGATCTACTCATTGGCTAAGGGCCGTAGTTCCCTGGCTGACAAGGTCATTGCAGCAAAGAGAACGCATATGAAGAAGATGGAATAAAGAAACGAGGAAATGAAAGGGAAATGGATGTGATGATGGTGTAAATAAATATTGTATATAGAAAGCTTTATGTTTATTCTCCCTCTTTTTTAAGAAATGTACTTATACATATTAACCAAAGTAACTGGTCAAACCAAATAGTAATGTAATTAATGCAACGTCCCCGAAGAACATACCCAAGACCTCCCAATATGACAACAATCTCAAGATCAAGGGCCTATACTGTTGTACTTGAGGAAGAAACATGGATGCCATGGATATTCCTTTCAATATAAGATTACCGTCGTTAGCAACGTACTTTGTACTGGACACTACGAAGAAGTACGTAGCAAGAATTCCGACCTCAATTGTTATGAACCAAGAGAAGAACCCGGACTTAGCGAATTCAAACTGACGGATAGCAGCCTGGGATGAGGCCTGGAAGGCATTTTCCGGAGAATTGTGATAGTGATAAAAGAAATTGACCACCGTGGTGATAAACCTTACGATAAAGAATACGGTCTTGGTCTTCCTCTGTTGGTATGCGTAGTATTGCTGGAGCTTGGCTTGGTACAGGGAATCTGGCACGCCCTCAGCACCATTGGCCATTGCTGGAAAGCCACCAGCCCCTCCGGAGGGGTCTCCAGAGTTGAGCATTTGCATCATCATGGCAAAAGGATCGGCATCTCCATCAGCAGCACCTGCTCCCGGACCTCCAGTGGCGGGACCAGCCCCGAATAGCTTGTTTAGCATAGCATCAAAGTCTTCAGCTGGAGGAGGAGCACTTCCAGCGAACGATGGGGGTTGTGGGGTACCATGGGCAGATATGTCAACATCTTCAGGATCGTCGTCGTCATCTCGCAAACTCACGGCAGGAACGGAGACAGTCCTAACTGCATCTGAGTGAACTGGCACTTCGGTTGTGGTTGGCTTCTTATCCAATGGAGATGATGCAGTTTCCTTCACTGATGATCCGGATGTCAAGATGGTGTTGAGTCTGTCAGTGGCCTTGGCGTTCATCTTTGCCTGTCTCCTTTCACGGAGCAAGCGTCTCTTCTCATCTGCAGTAAGAGAGTCTGACATAGACATGGTAACGGTATAGTAGTGATGAGCTTAAGTGTTGTAGTCGTTGTCTTCTCTTTGGTTGATGTACTGGACAAAATGCACTGGATGGGACAAAAATGACACAAAACTTCCGGGGTGGTGTCCATGCTGCGCACTCTGACAAAAGAATTATAAACCCGATCACAGTCAACAGTGCTCAAGAAGAGACTCAGATCAGGCAAGAAGAGACTGACTTTAAGCGAAGGCTGGATTTGATTGGTTGAAGCTTTAAGATGTCGTCGACCATGTCCTATCAAGAGCAAATTAGAAGGCAGACCATTGTCAATTCCATGGAGAACAAGGACTATTTGTTGGTGATCGCAAGCCAACAACAAAAGTCCGTGCAACAAGTAAAGTACGAGTTGATGTTGAAATTGATTGAGGGGTAGTTACATTGACCAGTCCCTGGTGAATCTTGGTGATAACTCATATTCTATCTATTCTAGCTTAATATTATCTCCCCTGTAAATCGGATAGAGCTGGTCTCTATATGATAATTATCAGATATATATGCTTCTAATATACAACTTAATATACAATCTACTCTTGCCATTACCTTTATCTTTATCTTCATCTTCATCATCACCTGTACACTCTTGGATCTCTACCGGTAGTCCTACGCGTGAAGTAGACCACTCGTGGTGTCTGGTCGACTTCTTTGTGTTCTCGTATCGGTACTGTCGAAAGTCCACGCATGTAACAATTTACACTCGCCATTACCTTTATCTTCGTCTTTATCTGAACGCTCTAGGATCTCTACCGGTAGTCTTACGCGTGACGTCTGGTCGACTTCTTTGTGTTCTCGTATCGGTGCTGTCTCCACGCATGTAACAATCTACACTCGCCATTATCTTAATCTTCATCATCACCTGAACACTCTTGAATCCCTACCGGCAGTCCTACGCGTGACGTCTGGTCTGCTTCTTTGTGTTCTCGTATTGGTACTGTCGAATAGTCCACGCATGTAACGAGGAGGCTGGTTAAGATTGGGTCCCACTGCTGCATTGAGGCCAACCTTACCGGATGCTGCATTGTCCCTCCTATCTCCTCGTACCGGAATTTTGGAGACTTTAGACAGAGAAGTAGAAGGATTCAATACAAAGGACTCGTTCGTATCGTCTTCTGCGAATGTTGCCCTCTTCAGGCGAGCTGAACTAGCATTCGGCCTGGTGTTTAGCCTCTTCTTCAAGTTCTCATTTTCCTCCTTGGAGACTTTCAATTTTCTTTTCAACTCATCGATTCTTTCGTCCAAACCTTCAATAAGCTTAACCTTTTCCCACTGATCTCGGGATGGCTTACCTGGGAAGTGCACACACCACATAGTCATCAGAAGACCATATAAAAAACCAGCAAAGGACTCGTTAAACTCTCCACAAAGTGACTCGTGGATCTGCTGTAAGCCTGTCATGTTCATTTCTAGTTCTTCCATAGAATCCGACAATTTCTCGAACTTTTCGGTATTTGTTTGGGACTCAAGAGGTAAGTTCTCTGGGTCTATTGGGTAATGAATCTTAGGCGATTGCGAAAGTATATTGAATACGCCTGAGGAGCGATGCAGCCTTCTTCTCTTTGGTGTGGTTGGCCTAGACATCTTTCTACCTGGATTTAACTACAAGAAAAGATCGATATCAGTGATCTATGCCTTCAGTGTGTCTGTCTCCTTTCGATTTGATTTGTTTTGTTTGTGTAAACAAACATGGTGAATGTTTATGTGCAGGATATATATTCCTCAGTTTTGATGGTTTAAATTATGCAGCACATTTTGCACCCACGACGGTGCTACAGCTGGAAGGGTTACTGGTTCAGTTTTAGATTGGATTGAATTATATTCCTTCGTTTATTCTATTGTATGTGTAGTGTATATATGTAAGTATTTTTTTCCCTCTTTTGTTTTTTTTTTCTCTTTTTTTTTTTTTTTGCTGAAAACACCGCCAGACGGGTGGGACTTCATTAGCTTTCTAAGCTTTTTATTCTTTTTTAGTGACTCTTGTTTTCAATTATGTTGCTAAAACAATTGTCTTTGAATAATAATAAGGATTCTTCGCTTTATCGAATGATAATAACGTTTGCTCGCTTCATTCATTCTTTAAATATCCTCCTTCCTTGCAAAGCAGATAAAATATACCGTCCTTCTTTGCTAACAATTCTGGAATTGTGTCAAACTCTTTAACCTCTCCCTTATCCAACACTATAACCCTATCACTGTCCATAATGGTATCTAACCTATGCGCAATAGTTAAGATTGTTTTATCCTTAAACTCTGTACGAATTGTATCTTGAATAATCTTGTCAGTTTGAACATCAACGGCCGCTGTGGCTTCATCCAAAATCAATATTTTAGAAGTGTTCAATAATGCTCTTGCCAAACAAAGTAATTGCTTTTGGCCTGAAGACAAGTTGGAACCTCCTTCAAACACATTCGCATCAAGTCCAACAAATTCTTCTTGTGCGGTGTCATCATCTCCGTCGTCATCACCTTTATCAAAACCTCTTGTTTTCATTGATTCGACATGTTTCCTCAAATGTGCCAAGTCTAACACTTTCCACAATTGTTTATCAGAGAAATTACCAAACGGATCTAAATTTTGTCTAATAGAGCCTTCAATTGTATGTGCTTCTTGAGGAATGATACTCAAATTGCTTCTCAAATCAAAGAGACCAATACTGCTTGTATCAACTCCATCAATGTTAATGTTACCACCAATTGATTCAATAATACGGAAAATTGCTAAGGTAAGAGAAGACTTTCCTGCTCCCGTTCTACCAACTATACCAATTTTCTCACTTGGTTTAATTCTCAAAGAAACATTCCTTAAGACAGGGTCTAAATTTTCTCTATACCTGGTGCTGTAATCTCTAAATTCGATAGTACCATCATTTGGCCATGATTCCTTAGGTCTATTGGATTCTATAATCATTTCAGCCTCCGTGGGTAAATTACAATATTCAAACAACCTCTCAAGTGAAATCGATCTTGCTTCTAACTGGGCCCAGCGGAAAATGATACTTTTCAACATCTCAGTAATACTTAATGTATATGCCATAACAAAACCTACAAGACCAGAACTCATTTCAAGGGATGTGCCTATTGTCAACACAACAAGCAATCCGGAAGAAAATAGTAATAAGGATGACACGAATTGTAATCTCATTGATAACCACCTGTTAGTCAATGTCATCATGTAGTCAATAACAATCTTTGAGTTAAGCAATGCATTATTTTTGTAGATAAACCTATCCTCTTGTGCGTAAGCCCTCAAGCTTTCAACTCCATTTACCAGCTCTTGCAAGTGAGAAAATACAGGACTCTTTTTAGCACTTTTGAGCCTTTTAATCTCTCTAGATGATGGAATGAAAAACTTTCTAACCTCATTATAAGCTACCATCAAGACTAATATAATTATACCCATTATTGGTAAGTTCAAAACAATGATTAAGAAAACAGCAATAATATTCAAGGCATATTCCAAAAGGTCAATAATAGCCCATGGTAAGTTCTGGTCTATCATGTTGATGTCTTCAGAAAACCTATTTAAAATTCTTCCAATTGGAGTTGTTTCAAAGAATGACATTGGAGATCTCAAAACCTGATTAGCCATCTTATCATGTATATATATTGATCCTCGAATGATACAGTATGTCCAAACAACAAAAGCTGCAATCAATGTCAATGCAGAGCCTATAACACCTAGGAAGGTATATATTCCTAAATACTTACCTGGGTTTGTATTTTCCCCTGTCCTTTCATTGACTTCAGACCAAAATTTAAGGGAGTACTTTCCTAAAACAGTAGTTCCAATAGTCAAAGACACTAAAATAAGATACAAAAACACATAGGTATAATTGCAGGCTTTAAAATACTCAAGGTAAATTTTTAAGCTCATCTTCCCTTTTGTAGTAATTTCTTTCGTATGTCCCGTCTTCTTAACTGGTGACGAACCATCCTCTTCAATCTGTTCAACAATTTCATCATCATGGATAAAGTCATGTCCAAACGGCATTAAGCTCGCTGCGCCAATGGAGCTACGTCTTGAAGTATTACCAGCTGGCTCAATCACATTTTCTGTAACTTCAGGTTCAAAGACTTGAATTTCAGATGAAGATACAAGTGAATTCGATTCTGAGCAAAGTTCTATTTCATTCTCTTCTATTTCTTGCTCTTTTTCATGCTCTTTTTCTTGTTGTCCAAACTCTTTTATCAATTCAAGGAGGTCAGAATTGTCTTTCTTCATCACTTCTGAGTACGTTCCCGTTTCAATTATTTTACCTGACTTCAAGAGTACAATATTATGGGACTCGGAAAGGACATTCACAGAATTAGTAGCTAATACCTTCGTTTTCGTTTTCAAAATCCCATTTGAACCAAGTACTTTCTTGATAATGTTCTTTCCAACGTGAGCATCAACTGCTGAAAGGACATCGTCAAACAAATAGACATCTGCTCTTGCGTAAACCGCTCTAGCTAATGAAAGTCTTGCTTTTTGACCTCCACTCAACGAGATACCCTTTTCGCCTACAACAGTCTTGTCACCATCCGGCAAAGATGCAAAATCACTCAATAATTCACAAGCATCAACTGCCTTATCATAAAATTCCTTATTGTAACGACATCCAAATATAATATTCTCCTTCACAGTTGCATTCATAATCCATGGTGACTGTGAACAGTAAGCTATACTTCCAACAACCAGACTATGGCCAGGAATACTATTCGCTGCTTCAGGAGCAATCGGAATTTCGCCTAAGATAGCCTTAAGAAGGGTCGATTTTCCGGCGCCAACCTTACCAACTATACATGTCAATTGGCCCTTTCTTGTAGTGAAATTAATGTCTTTCAACGCGGTATTCAGATCATCAATAGAACTCTTGGGGTTCAGATTCCAGATGAAGGATATGTTTTCAAGGTCAATTGAAACGTCATTCAACTGCAAAGGTTTATTTACTCTTTTCACTGTCTTTCCTAGTTCTTCTGCTGAGAAGTATTCTCTTAATCTTTTTAAAGAGACTCTAATTTCAACAATGTTGGCGAATGTACTAGGTAACGCCAACATTGGCTCTGTCAACATATCAAATAAGGCCAAAGCTGGAAAGATCTTATCGGGAGTTAAAGGAACATTTGAGGTATAAGCAAAGGTGGCAAAACTAGCAGTAGCTATACAGAAAGGAATGCATGACCATAAGAATGTAGAAAACGCATTGAAGACTCCTATCCTCTTGTACGTCTTCACTTCCTTATCATTTCTGACTTCCCCAAGTCTCTCAAGCATAGGTTTTTCCCATGAATACAACTTAACACTCTTAATGGAAGTAAATATTTCACTAGTCAATCTAACTCTTGCATCTTTGAACTCTAATCCTTCATTGTAAAGCAGAAAAATTGAGGTACTCACCTTACTACTTAAAGGCACTAAGATCAAAGCTACAATGAAGCCTCCCCAAGTTGCATTTCCAATGATTTTATAAAGCGAAAACAAACAAATCAATAGCCTCACAGGATCATTAAGAACATCTGCAATTACATATGAGAGTTCTTCCAAGGTTGCAACATCTGTACCTAAATGATTTATAATATCACCAGTGGTTTGAGTCTTTCTAGCTTCTGGAGATAACCTTAAGGATTTTTCATAGATCATACCAGATAAACCAGTTTGAATACTAAAGATAAGACTGAACATGGACAAATAAGCTTGGTTTCCGATAATGGATCTTAAAATTGCAATTAAAAACATTCCAGCCACAATGGAAATCCCAGTGATTAACGGTGGAGCATCTTCTAGCGTTTTCGAAGTCTTTTGCTGGAAGAATAGTAACAACATTCGTAATAAAAATGGTTGCGAGAGCGAAACACAGGACTCTGCAATACTAAAGGCAAACAGAAGGAAAGTGTAAAGCAAATTTGAGCGAATAATTGGTATAAATAAATTAGTGTCCTTCTTATTTTCTTTCAACAATTCTTTATCCCAATAGCCTTGTAGTATTGGTTGCGTGTACTCACATTTCAAACGATTTGGAGTACCCGGTAATTTAATAGTATCTTCATCCAAAGAATCATTGATATAGATTTGCTTCATTGCCGGTTGAGCATGCAAGAACGTAATATAAGAGTAGAAATCTACTTCGGAAGTAATATCCCATTCATTGAGTTCGAAATAGTCCACAAGTTCTCTGGTTGGGGTATAGTAATTAAACTCAAAGTTGAAGATAGTAACAGCATTGATGAAAATCAACGTTTCTATAGTCAAAAAGATGGCAGCATTCAGTTGAGCAAAAAGTTTAATAGGACTGAAAGCATCTTGAACTACCCAAATTCCAGTTACGATGATCTGAATTGTCCAGAATATAAGTAGCGAAGCCAGCGGCACAACGCTTCTGGTGGGCTCGATAAAGTGGAGCGGTGTAGCCGCAAATAGGAGAGTACCTAGTACTAATAGGAGAGCAGTAGTTTTGAATCCTGAAGTTTCAGTCGAAAGGTTCAAGCCTAGGAGCAATGATACAAATAGTACTTGAAGAACAATTGCACTAACTTTTGCGAGGTGACTCAAGCTACTACGAAGTAATGAAATTGAAGATCCAAAGCTGTACTTAATCTTATGGTGCCCAAACGTATTGTTAAAGATCAAGTTAGCAATTTGGAACAATATAAAGAGTGCAATTGCAATGTGCGAGTAACCTGTTACTAGTGCGATGAAGCATGGGTTTAAATGGTTTTCATTGGGCTTATACAACGGCTGAAAAATCGAATCAAGGCTACATCCTTCATTAGATGAAAAATTACTATGGCGCTGATCGCCACGACCCGGTTCAGACGTATACAAGAACGATTGTGTGTTTAGATAATTCGGCACCATGTACAGATATTTCCTACTCACAAGTGAACTAAGAAAGGAAACAATTACCTAAGTAGAAAGTGGCAAAATGCGACATTGCCTATATATATATACTCATTAATATATTTAGAAGAATCAAAGTATCGGAGCTTAAATATGCAGCCGATAAGAAAAATTTTTATGTATGTGCATATTGCAACATGACAGGTTAAAACCGGTTTCAAAGTAATGGGGAAGGAGAGCAGCGAAGACTAAATTCGTAATGGTTGTTGCGGAGCACTGAATATCTACACGATTTATCATCTGGCTAGTATTTCCAGCGTAAACCCATTCGATACCTACTGTATATCAGATCCAATGCGAACCTCTTACATTGCCAGTCTTGTTCCCTATATTCCAAGGCCACAGTTCTAATTTTTTGTACGGCTTCGAAGAAGGCTCATGCGGCTTAAATCCCCTTGAGTGAATCTGGAGAGAAAGGGTTATGAATTGCTACGATGGGCACCGGTGAAGTCAAGATTGTCGCTAAGCCAACTTACCACCGTAGCTCGGTGATGGTGATTGAATTATTACCCGGAATCTGATATGTGAGTATTCCCTAATCAACAGTGGTAGGAATACAAACGAGCCTTCTCTGCCGCAAATGTATGGGACCGTTTTTCGTAGATGTGGAACCTATTTTTAAATTTAATGAGTCACCGACGATGAAAGTCGAAGAAGGACCTTATTTGAGTTCTAGAAATGTTTGGGAGCCTAACCTGCGTAGGATAAATGCAATCCCCTGTATATATGTAAATAGAGTTTCTCGGGTTTACTCTCGAGTGTTCTCCACTATCTTACCGATTATGCACCTTGATGCATGGAGTTCTGGGTGCAATTACCGATCGTATGCCCTCTCTGATCAACACCTCTACCTGAAAGTCAACTTACAAGAGATGAATCTTGATATTTCATTTATTCTAACTATCTAATTCTAAGTTATCTAATCTTTTGTTTTTGTTTTACTCTCTCCTTACTGGTCGTCTTGGCCAATAATTTGCTCCCACGTCTTCCCTTCCTTTTTTAATTCGAGAGCCAATTCGTCTCTGATCTTTGCTGGTAATCCAGGTCCTTTGTAAGCGAATGCAGTGTACAATTGAATAAAAGTAGCGCCTGCCTTTCCAAACTCCAATGCATCCTTACCAGATGAAATTCCTCCGCATCCAATAAGCACTAAGTTAGAATCCTTGGTGTGCTTCCTAAGATATCTTAAAGCTTGTAAACTCAAGGGTTTTAATGGTTTTCCAGATAAACCACCAGTCTGGTTAATTAATTCGCCATTGGTAGTCAAGAGCCTCTCGGTTGGGCGCTGGATGGTGGTATTGGAAATAATAATACCATCGACCTTTGCTTGCTTTGAAGCACTGGCAATTGATTCAATTTCTGGCTCGGTAAGATCGGGCGCAACTTTCACTAGTACAGGTGGGATCTTTCCTAATAAGTTGGGTCCCAATGCATCTCTTTCCTCAACTACAGTTGTCAACAAGTTCGTCAATTTCAGTTCACTTTGTAAGTCTCTCAAGCCTGGTGTATTTGGAGACGACACATTGATAACTAATACATCCGCGTATGGTCCCAATCTTGTAACACCCTTGACGTAATCAGAAACTTCGTCACCAAACTTATTCTTACCTAAATTTATCGCCAAAAGCTTTCCGTTTCTGAATGAATTGCCAAATGGTTCATCGACTGCTGAGTGCTGAGTACCCCAGGCATTGAACAATTTACTAAATCTCAACTTAAGTCTCGCAATAACGCTCCAATGGCCAGACGAATTGAAACCATACCTGTTTATAACTGCCTCGTCCCTTGGCAATCTGAAGAATCTTGGCTGGGGATTACCTGGCTGAGCTTCTGGAGTTATAGACCCAATCTCCACATAGGAGAATCCTAGGTCGAATAATGAATCAATAGCCTCACCTTCCTTATCAAATCCAGCAGCAATTCCAACAGGGTTATTCAATGTCGTCCCAAACACATTCACCTTAAGGCTCTCTGGGTTGTTGGTCTTATCGTCAAGGAGCCACGGCGTAAGCCCATACTTCATAGATAATACCCCAATCTTGTGGCCCAGTTCAGCATCCGTGGCTGCCCTGATAATAGGGCACACCACGTACTCATATATGGCCGAACGTGAATCCAAACAGTATACCCCAGCAACCGTACCACCTATAACTGCTCCTGCATAAACAACAGGCCTGGGTATGAATGAAGACTTCAACACCCTGGCTGATCTAAACCCTCTGAACATTATTTATCGTATGTTTTTTTTGCTACCAGAAGAAGTGTCAACCTAGTCTCACCAAATATCACAATCAAAAGCTTCAATTGGTACTTTAGTCCTGCTACCGTATCTAGAACTACTGTTTGCAATTGCTGAAAAATGATTGATCGATGAAAAAAAGAAAAGACGCAAACAACCGTTCTATATATTAGCGATAGGGCTATGTGCAGGCGCGGGGGTCAGGTGAAGGAATGCTGCAATGTTCTTGGGCAGGAGTGGGGCTACGAATAAGGTGACTGGCTGGTGTTTGCCGAAAAGCATCTAGTGTTGGCTTCCTGGCGTGATATCCACACCGCTCTCCTCACTTTCTTCTTTGAAATGTAACTGCTCCTTCTCGCTGCTCCACACTCTCATAGCTCCTCCCACTCACTCTGAGCGCTACCCTCATCACCATGTCCTGCATATACGCGAGATGAGACATGAAAAATCCACCCTACAGGATTTTTCATGGTGTAAAGGCATGGATTAGCCACAAACGTCTATAGACTCTCAGCTTACACGTTAGATAAAGTCTGTTCGTAACATGAGTCACATAGTCAGTGCATCGGCACCTCTTGATACCTCCAAGTATCAGAGAGGGTCCTCAAAGCAGCAAAAGAAGGCCAGGTATACCAAGGACAGGAAGCTTAACGCAGGCTTGAAGAAGGTTGACAGGCAGTACAAGGATGCGGTCCAATCTGCCGCCAGCACGGAGCTTCTTTTACAAGAAGATGCCGGTTACCTTGAAGCCGAAGGCATGGAAAAGACTTTCAAATTCAAACAAGATGAAATACTGGAAGCAGTTGACGTCAGCACGGCAGCCAAGAAGTTTGATCTTAAATTGGAAGAATTCGGCCCATACACAATTGACTACTCAAGGAACGGAAGAGAGTTGTTAATAGCAGGAAGAAAGGGACATGTCGCCTCTATAGACTGGCGAACTGGTGCCTTGGGATGTGAGCTAAACCTCAATGAGACTTGCCACGCCATTAAATCACTTCATAATGATCAGTACTTTGCGGTCGCTCAGAAGAAATATACATTCATATATGACAAGACTGGTTTGGAACTCCATCGCTTGAAGCAACATATCGATTCGACATTGTTAGACTTTTTGCCCTACCATTTCTTACTTGTTTCTGCCGGTAACACAGGGTTCTTAAAATATCACGACGTTTCCACTGGTACCTTAGTCAGTGAATACAGAACTAAATTGGGACCCACCCAGGCCATGAAGCAGAACCCATGGAATGCCGTCATGCATTTAGGTCACGGTAATGGTACTGTTTCGCTCTGGTCACCAAACATGTCGACCCCGTTGGCGAAGATTCAAAGTTCCCGTGGTCCAGTAAGAGATTTGGCTATAGACAGAGAAGGTAGATACATGGCTGTTAGTGGTGCTGACAAGCAGTTGAAGATATGGGATTTAAGAAAGTTCAAAGAAATCGATACCTACTTCACACCAACCCCGGCTACTTCGCTTGACATATCAGATAATGGATTACTTTCCGTGGGTTGGGGTCCCCATGTCACCGTATGGAAAGATGTATTCAAGTCAAAGCAGAACCTGCCATACATGAACCATTTATTGCCAGGTTCCAAAATAGAAAAGATCAAGTACGTTCCCTTTGAAGATATTCTTGGAGTGGGCCATCAAAAAGGTGTTTCCTCTTTGATTGTTCCGGGTGCTGGTGAGGCCAATTACGATGCCTTAGAATTGAACCCTTACGAAAGTGCTAAGCAAAGACAAGAGCAAGAAGTTAGATCCTTGCTTAACAAACTCTCTCCAGACACCATATCCATGGATCCTAGTGTAATTGGTACGGTTGATAAGCGTGCTAGTAGCATAAGGTTGAAGCCTGGACAAATCAACCAAGTGACAACTCCAGGAGAAGATGAAACAGTTCCTGAGATACGTCCAGACGTCCAAGGTAAAAACTCTAAGCTCAGAAGTCACTTGCGTAAGAAGAAGCAAAACGTCATAGATCAAAGAAAATTACGTATAGAGAAAAATTTGAAGATGGAGAAGGAGATCAGACAAAAGAGACACCGTGAATTCAAGGGTATTCCTGAAGAAAAAGATCTTTTAGGACCGGCATTAGCCAGATTCAAGTAAAGAAGCATTTGTATTTATAAACTGGGTAAGTATTTGTATGTATTTATATATAGATAATCTTATTTTTGCATTAATTTATAAAGAGTATCTTCAAGTAGTTTGTTTTCCCATAGAATCGAGTCGATGTAGACCTCATCAACGTATGAAGATGCAGAAGTAGGAGGCAGCATGGATGTCTTCGTCAAGGCAGGATTGTTCTGGAATTGAGTAAATGTTTGTAGCTCGTTAAAAGTATTCTCTGTTTTATTCTTCAAAGACAGGAAAGATTCCTTTTGACTCTCACGTAACGTCAGTTCAAATTCATCGAAATCCTTCAATATGGTACTGATCATCCTGTCATTTCTGTGGATTTGCATATACACTTCAATGATAAATTTGTCCTCTTCCTGTAGAAATCCTAGTGAGGTTATCCCTAGATTGGCATAAGAAGAGGTATGTGTGCCAATGAAATAGAGAAGCACGCATACCTTAACACAGGTGTGTAAATCCTTCTCGAAGAACTTCTTGAAGTTAATGCTAGCAATTAGTTCCTTCATTTCCAACACCACTTTAGTTTCCACTTTCGATTCTAGATGCTTTTGAAGTAGTGAATGGTAAGACTCGATTGTCGAAGTAGCTGTCTTTCCTATAAGACATCCTAGCAAACAGTTAAACACCTCCGGTGAAGCAAGAGCCTCTATCGAAGCGTGTGCCAGTAAAGGAGACAGTGGGAAGTCTGATAACCATACTATCATGGACTTAATGAACGCGGACATACTCTCGTTTGGATAACCAATCTACTCTAATATTGATTTTAACTCAATTATTTTATTAACTCTATTTGTACCTACGTAACCCAACACAAAATAATCAACTTAGTATAAAAAAAAATTAGCAGTAGCACATGGTCTAAACCTTCTTTAATGAGAAGATCTAGCCGTTATCGAATAATTCGAGTAATCCAAAGTAATAAGATCGTTCAATGAGTTTCCACCCATATGCTGGTTGACCATCTCATAGTTTTCAATGGCCAGCTTAACAAAACTTTGTACAGTTTTGAATTTACCAGCAGACATTTCGTTGTGATGGTCAAGCTTAGACTCGATTTCCAAGTCGTGGATAATGGATATAATGTCATCAGATGAAGCGGGCCTTGGTTCTTCTTGCTGTTCAGGTGTAGGATGGTGATCTCTACCTCCACCCAACACTATCATCCAGCAGTTTACCACCTGATCGTAAGCCATCATTTTGGTGTACTGGAACTCGTTATTGTTGAAATTTGGTAATGCGTGAATCAAGTTGGTGATGTTGTCCAAGAACTTCAAACTGGTAGCAAGATTTATCTCCACGGGTGGGAGGTAATTCAATATGAAATCACTCAAGCAGTGGAAGAATTCATTCAAATATGGCTTGATACGGAGGTATGAGTAGTCTGATTCCATGTCACATTTATAAGGTAAGTGGGAGAGTATATCATCAAACTTCATTTTGATCAACTTGAGCGAGTCACTTAAGTTTGGCTTGGGTGCTAGCTTCAGCACTGTTTCATTGATTTCTGGATGCAATTGGATGACGTTTCGTAAAAGTGCCTGTAATTGGTTGACGTCTAAAACTTCAATGACTCTATCCAAGGGTAAGGCTTCACCAAGGATTTTGGGAGTTTTCACCTTTTTGTGCCTAGACGAAGCTACGGCTATGGGAGAAGATGACGAAGTGCTTGTGCTAGATGACCCTACAACCGAAGAGCTTCTCTTGTTGGATGAAGGTTTATGTATCTTGGAGGAGTCTTCATCGTGAGTCTTCCTCTTTCGTGTGTATGCAAATCTATTGGGGGTAGTGGACTTTGGCTCTAGGGATTTATCTCCCCAAGTGAACCCGGTGGAAATCATGTGCGCTTGCCTGGTAGTGATGAAGTGCCGCTGTTTTGCTTATAAGGAGTCTGGTTTTTCTCTGCTTTGAGTGTGTCCTTATCACAGTATAAAAATATAAATCAAATCTGCTATCAATAACACGATGTGACCTGCTCTAGCTAATTTAATGTGCTACTCTTTTTTCCTTTCTTTTTGCTTAGCACTTTAAACTTCGTCTTCTGATATTGACGAAATTGGCTGGATGGCAAGTCCTGCACATGGAGAGAAGAAAAAAAGAAAGAAAGGAAGCCGCGTGTGCAGTACAAAGCGAGCGGTGCAGTTGCATGGCATAATTCGTTTCCGTTTAGGTGCAGCACACTCAGTGCGACAGGGTACTCTATAGGAAGAAGAGCTATGCTAACGGAACAAGAAAGTCTCTGAATGATAGAGACAAGGTCTTTTATTTCTACTTTCAATGGTTGTGTTCATGTTTAACCAAGCTCAATTGTCTTTTCGCTTACCTCTGGTTGCTTGGTTGTTACTGGCATTTAGTGCAGGGCTTTCTCTTTAGGCTTAAAATCATGTGCTCCCATTGTGAGCAAGCTGCTTCCCTAGGCAAGGCACAGTAATTTAGTTCCTTTTGCCTGACTATTTTTTTTTTTTTTTTTTCACTTCTGTTTTCGCAGCCATTGGCTTGCTTTGCTGGTGCTAGCTCGGGCCCGACTGTTAGCCTACTGTTCTCTTCTGTTTTTCAGTAGCCTTGTTGGCACTTGCTCACCACACTGTTCCAGCTTCAGCTCCCTACATTATTTTGTCATTCAATGTTTATTCTACTAAATACATGTCTACTCCCACAGAGATTACTGTGATTCATTCATTTTTTTTTGTCTTTTATCAATTTTTCATAAGACTCATTCCCACTTATCTGTCTCTCCCTTTGCTCAATAATAATCATTTCCCTCATATTCATAATCTGATAAATCCAGTGCAACTGAGTCGTCGCTATCTTGATCATAGTCTGCTTCGTTAAAGCCAACGTATCTATTCCTCTTCAACTCCACTTCATCATCTGTTTGGATATCCTCCTCGTCCGTTATATCATTGGCGGCATCATCGTCTCTTCCTTCGTCGTCGTCATCTTCTTCCTCCTTCTCCTCTAATTCTATTTTCAATTCGTGTAAAATATCAAAACATTCCGCCAATAACGCATTTAATAGCCCCTGGCCCTCTGGTATACTCCCGTTGACATAAAACTTCCCATCTTGCCTTAAATTATCTAAGGATGCCAATTTAAATTGGTATGGATACAACTCCTTCAACTTGCTTAATCCATCTATTCTCTTAATATCCAATAAGCACCTACGAACTGTGGATAACTGGTTATGTATGGGTTGTAGGGATTCGCTGACTGGCTGCGAACTTTCCAATAATTTATAAATTAATGAATAGCACCTTCTTAATAGATACAATATAATCATGTGCAATTTTTTAAATTGGTCGATATTTGACGATGAAATCTGATCCTCATGGAATTCGTTAACTTTCGATAATCTCTCCTCTTCAATTTCTTTCAAGTTTTTGGAGTACGCATATAAGTCTGTTTCCCTCATTGTCCATCTCCTAGTGATCATGAGATTCTCTAACTTCTGTTTAATATCGAATAGCTTAGAGTATAATTGTTGGAAATCTTTAAGAATCACACTGTCCAGAGCAGTGGACCCTTCCTTGTAGCCATCATCACCGTCTTTGATACTTAAATTCTTGAATAAATTGGAAATATCTGGTGTATCCTGTTGTATAGATATGTCGTTCAAGAAATTATTACAATCGTCCAATAACCCATTGAGGAGCACGCTGGATTTATCTTGCTGTTCCTGTGGGGCAGAACTAGGGAAGAACCCATCTGAATCTCTCAACAATTCAATTTCCTTCAACTTCTTCTTCAACTCAATGATTTTCTCTTTCAATTGAGAAGGTGTCAAGGAATCAGATTGAGGAGCTGGCACCAAGTTGTTCGATATTTGAGAGGTGGTGGTAGATAATGGATGTGATGAGGATGAAGTAGATGTCGAAGCGGATGACGATGTGGATGCATTGGTAAGGAAGTTCAAGAGCCTTTTTCTAATGAGCACTAAGTTTGAATAAATAGGTTCCAAGTCAGTAGGGATTTCCTTGAAGTTACTCTCTAATTCATTCAACAATTCGAAACATTTATTCCATTTGTTTCTAAGCAATAAGCTTTCTTCTGTTTTATGGTTCTCCAACCCTTGCTTCAATTCTTCCTCCGCTTCTTCTTTCTGCAGTTCTTCAGATTGCAAGATAATCTTCTTGATTTCCTCTAATCTCTTCCTGATGGGCTCTAAATCGTCCATTGTGTACACCTGACAGGACTTCAAATGGCCCAATAGCTTGTAGACAATTGCCAACGACAGGTAAGTCGCAGGAGCAAATTTAGTCAACCCACATGTGACAAAGCAAAGTGAGAGCATCGACCAGATGTCATCAGTCAACAAGTCCAGGCCTGTGGGCAAGTTCAACGTAATCCCCTTCAATTCTTCGTCTTTTCTGGTTAACGAAAGCTCGTGCAAAGTGGCCAAAAACTCATCATAGATAGTGTACACTTGCTTGGATGATATATATTTGTTACGGTTGTTTTTGAGTGACGATAAAGACTGACTAATTTGCTGAAGTTTCTCATACAAGGGCCTTTCGTAGTTCGGAATAGTTTTCATTTTGGTCACACTTGGAAATAAATAGGCTACAGTATGGTATCACGTCAACAATAAGAGAACTACCTGTCCTTTATAGCGGGGTCAACTAATCAACTGTTGTGTCTCTTAAAAACGATTCACCTCCACCGCTTTGTGCCAATTGAAGTTAAACCAAGAGGTACTGAGCTTATATGCACACCCTCGGTCCTAACATAATTAATGCAGGGGACGGAAAAAGCAGGACCGGATTTCAAATTGGGTGACTTTGGGAAAAGGATGTGTGATAAAAAATATTTCAGTGGATGATTCAGAGAGATACCGTACAATATTAAACAGAAGCAAGGGGCTTGATTGGACTATTGGATTTAAGATAAAGACTGGGCAGGGCCGAAAAGTGCAGAAATGAGTAAAACTTGGGGCTGGAGCGGAAAGAAACGGTGATGTGCTCTGCGCTGTTCGATGGTAGAGCCTGTGGCCCGTTTTGGGTGCAAAAATGGTTCCATGAGAAATACAAATCGGCCGGGATGTTTCCTTTTTCGAATATGGTTTAATTTGCTAGGCCAAATTGCTTCAGCTGAAGCAATTGTAAATGGTTGTAGAATGTATATGTGGCCCTCCGTGTTGGTTCCGGCTGTGACTGTGTGTTGGTCGGAGTACAGTGTTTTGAGATATCGCCGGGTGCTTTGGGCCCAGCAATGAGTGCGAGTGTGCGTGTGTAGTGAGTTTAGAGTGTAGTGTGTGGTGTGTAGTGTGTGGTGTGTGGTGTGTAGTGTGTAGTGTGTAGTGTTTAGTGTTTAGTGTGCAGCGGGTAAGTGTGTAATGTGTAATGTGAATATGGGTGTTGTATAGTGAAATGTGGAAGGGCGGTACGTACTCTCCCTGTAGTTTCGAAGTATGTTCAAAACGGTCTTTTATATCTCTCTCATTACCTTAAAATTTTCGAAGAAAGTAATTGTGTTTCGCTGTAGTTCCTTACTTACTTTGATAAAAATGGAGCTATTTTGTTTCTTTACAGTTCCTTACCACATGGTGATCGGACTCTTCAACAAGTTACTATCTGGACTGGCTTCTCTCCAGTGGATTATTCAGCACCAGACTCTTCAGCACCAGACTCTTCAGCACTAAACTCTTCAGCACTGGACTCTTCGGCACTGGACTCGTCAAGAATCCTATATTAGTTTCTCTCCAGTATCGCATATCACCTACATGATCCACTCTCCCTGCTGCTCCTTCGCTCTCTCTCATCTCCTACATTCTCAGTATCTACAATCTACTTCTCTTAGTCGTAGTCGCCGTATAATAACACCAATATAAAATCTAATTACTGAAATGAAATAGAATTATAGAAATAGAAAAGAATTTAATATAACCGAAATTTAATGGTCAGGATTTGCAACTTGAAGTATTTTCCTACTATAGTCTGCTTCGTCTGCCAAAGAACCTTCAGATAGACGTCTTCTGCCCATCATTACTGGGTTCAATCTTGGATCTGCCAATCCGCCGCTTGGATTTCTTGCTCCTACAGCTCCTCCTGTACCCACCACTGAATCCGAAGGATGTGTGAAAGGGTTTACCATAGGCATATCCAATGGGTTTGGTTTATTTTTAGATGGACCCCTGGATATTCCCGATGATTTCTTGGTTTCATAGTTGAACCCTTCATCGTCATCATCATCCTCAGAGTTCCTGTATCTCAAAACAAAGAATACAATGGCTGCAATGATTGCTATTGCTGCTAAACCACCGACGACACCACCTGCAATCGCGCCAACATTGGTCGATTTCTTGGAAGATCCGGCGGTAGTTGATGAAGAAGTGGCGGATGAAGTCTTAGAAGAGCTGCTGGTTGAATCGCTAGATGAAGTAGCAGATGATGTTTCCGAAGAAGATGTAATGTCTGATGATGATGCTGAAACTGTAGAGGTTACTAAAGTTGATGATTGTGTGGATGTTTTCGATGAAGAAGTGTCATCAGAACTAGTGGCAGACGATGCCGATGTGGATGTGCTATCTGATGTTTCAGTGGAGGACGTATCAGAGTCGTCTGCGGAACTGGAGGCTCCGACAGTACCTGCTCCCTTATACACTTGGTAGGCGCTAGATCCACCACAAGTCTCCAGCCCGTAACCAAAACAAGCAATGTTACAGTTACTAGAGCTGACTGAGTCGGTGGGCATTTCGTCCAAACAGTAGCAGTTTCCCCCATTTTTAAGTGCAATATATGCATACTCCGAGCACGTTCCGCTACAGAGTGAGGGGGTCATGTATGAATCAGAGGATGAACTAACAGAGTCCACCGATGAAAAGCATCCAAGCGACGTATCTCCTACTACAAGGGGTATAAGCGCGAGTAATGATACCACAAGTGGCACGTTATTCTTAGATGTGTGAACCATGGCAAAAAGATGTTGATCGATGCCTTAGTGAAGTTGAGGTTGAGGGAGGGGGGGTATAACAATAATGGTATCAAGTATCAAGTATCAAATCGATGTTTGTGTGCCCAAAATTTTCCGTGGCTAGTCCCTGAGCGAGTGAGTATTGTATTTTGGGGATGAATGAACAGGTTTAGCTCGTGTCAAATCAAGCTGTTATATTTTATATGAAGCGATGGTGAAAAAAGGAAAGGAAAGTAAACCAAAAAGTAAAAGGATACCGTTTACAATAAAATGAACTGACTAGACCCTGAAATTACCAAGAAGAATGAAGCTAAAATTAAAATTTTCGGTTTCTAAAAATTAAATCAAAAGGGCAAGTGCAAAAGAAAAAGAAATCAAAAAAAAAAAAAAAAAAAAAAAAAAAAAAAAGCAAAAAATATATCTTTTTTTTGTGAAAACCCGCGTAAAAAAATTCCAAAACACAAAAAACTAAAAAAAAAAAGAGAAAAAAAATGTGACACAT